TCTTTCAGCCCCCTTGAGATATGGAACAGGTTACTTCATCCTGCACCATCCTTAAAGCCTTGGATATCCCAAAGGGACATAAGGTTGCGATTTCTAGAAGCTCATGCCTTTAATGGGCCTATTCTTGACCATCAGTCGCACATTCGCAACGCAACTCTCGTGAAGCGTGCCAACTATAATACTGATTAAAACTATCTACATTCATGTCTTATAAATTTTCAACCCAGCTATGTAATTTAATACAGTGTATATTGTATCATTTGTATCAATTTGATCTTGCCTGTAAACTGGCATGCCTCATGTAACAAACTGTTATTTGAGAATAAATTATTATTATTATTATAACTACATTCCAAAATCCTTAGAGAAATTGCCCAATATATTGCAGCCCCACTGATCGCGATATTCAGTGTGCCGTTTAGCCAAGGTGTGTTACCTACAGACTAGAAGGATGCTATTGTCACTCTGATACATAGAACAGGACCAAGACAACTTCCATCAAACTACAGACCAGTCATCTTCAACAGTATCATAGTTAAAATGATGGGAAAAATGGTCAAAATGACCATAATGACATTCATGGAAAACAACAACTTGTTAAACAGTGAACAACTTGGTTTTAGAAAAAGTTTTTCTTGTGTAGTGACTCACATTTATCACGAGAACACGACTGGTTTAATAAAAACAATTATTATTATAACCAACTGTACCAGTGACTGTTTTAACGTGCTTTTGTTTGACTGTGCTAATGACAGCTATTTTGTTCTTCCATTCTTTTACTTACACTTTGATTGTAACTTCGCGCGAATTCGGTTACGTTCTGTAACCAAGCTTGTATCCTGGCACGATCTCGGTATCCTTTCGATGCCACAAGATCGCCAGCAAATATAACTCGACTTGGTCCATTAATTGCCTTCTGATATTCGGCTTCTCAGGGATTTTATGGAGTCATTTGGAACGAGCTTCTTACGCCTTCTGATCTAATTGGCACGTGTTTCTTGGTAGCGGTGTTCATAGTTAATCTCAACTCAACGCCACGCTACAATTGGTAATCCCAACTCGAATACAATTGGTGACCCGTATTTTGGAACACGCCTCAACTTCTGATCAAATCTTCCAAAGAAGCCAATTCGGTGAGTCTATGATTTATCTATCCACGTCTGTCGTATATTTTCATATTTTTTAATATATAATATACGCGACATAATAATAATAATAATATATTTCTGCATGTGCAGGTACACACCGTTTTTACAGGCATGATCTATAAATTACAATATTTGTTGGTTCGCAAAATGCTTCCCAACTTATTAAGTTTATAGTTGTTATAAAGTGAGATCGTAGAGCGCTTGCTGTAAACTATGACCTTGAGAGGACGCGTACGTTAAGTTTGCTCCAAACGTCAGAAGTTTCATAGTTGTGCTCTCAGAGCAAGATTAGTAACTTGGTGCTGATAGCGATAAGAATAGTATTAATATAATAGACTCACACGTATGTGTACCGAATCCTTGTCACTTTTTATTCGCGTGATGATGAATTCCACGCTTTATTCGAGAAATGTTACCCTATTAACGATTCTCCTCGCTGATCCGGCTGCTTGGTACGGAATGCATACGCATAAGCATATCCGTCTACCACCCAGCACCAAATGGTTCAGTTGAACTGTTTCACTGCCAACTTAAAAGTGTTCTACGAGCACACGAAAACGGCAACTGGCACGAAACCTTACCGCTCGTTCTTTTAGGGGTGAGAACGAGCTTAAAGGCAGATATCCAATGTTCCGCCACTGAACTTGTATACGGCACGACATTGCGTCTGCCCGGAGAATTCTTCACACCACGGAGCAGACCTAATTTCGGTAAATCAGACTACGTTCATCGATTGTCTGCATTTATGCGAACGCTGTCTCCGGTGTCAACTCGAATACAACATCGACAGGTCGCTCTCCCTCGAGAGTTATCTACCTGTTCACATGTTTTTGTACGAGTAGATTCGGTACGCAAACCTTGGCAATAACCTTGCGAAGGCCCTTTTCACGTGATCGCTCGTCACGAAAAGACCTTCAAGGTTGATCGACATGGACGCGTCGAGATCGTCAGCATTGATCGTCTCAAACCAGCACACGTCGATGACAGTGCCCAATCTGACACCCTGAGATTCAATGCTAGACCTATCAAACCTAGCGGGATCCTTAAATCTTCTTCAGGTCCCACGCTAAATGCATCTGAGACCTCATTCTCACGTCCCGGTCAACAGCACGCGTCATCTGCACCGTCTACGGACGAGACGACAGTCTCACGTCCAGATCAGCAGACCACGCAGCCTCTGACCTCGGATGAGATTGCAGGCTCACGAAATACGAACGAGACTGCCGTCTCACGTTCCGATCGCCGAGTACGGTTACCCGTACGCTTCCGCGACTAGCCGCACAGTCAACAACCGATACGGTGTAGGGTTATTCCTATACTACACGCATGCTACACTCTTCTTTTTTTGATTTTCTTTTTGTTTCCTGAGCCCACGCCTTCGACCATCTCCGTTTGGTTCCGTCGACTTCAGTCAATTTTGGCGAAAGCTGGCCTGATCACCCACGCTCTTGTCAACGTACTCAGTCGATATATTGGTTTCGAATGCTTGGCATACGCTTGGTCTCGAACTTGGTCGTTATGGTCGCTTTTGGTCTTTTGACTCAACGTGGTTTCGTCCTTCGTCTGCAGCGTTTCTGGTGCGCACCTCTACGAACGCCCTCTTCAGATTCTGGATACAAACCACTCTGGTAGCATGCCAACTCAAGCAACAAATACAGCACATCGCTCCTGGTACCGTTCTCCGAAAACGACCTTCGTTGGCAACTCGACGATCAACGATCGCTTTCCTGTTCGCCAATTCTTCCGTCCTACAATCGCTCGTTAGCCGATCAGTCCCACGATTTAAACCGCTATTTATCGAAAGTGTTAACCCTTTCTAGCGGGGGGCTCCTGTAGTGACTCACATTTATCACGAGAACACGACTGGTTTAATAAAAACAATTATTATTATAACCAACTGTACCAGTGACTGTTTTAACGTGCTTTTGTTTGACTGTGCTAATGACAGCTATTTTGTGCTTCCATTCTTTTACTTACACTTTGATTGTAACTTCGCGCGAATTCGGTTACGTTCTGTAACCAAGCTTGTATCCTGGCACGATCTCGGTATCCTTTCGATGCCACAAGATCGCCAGCAAATATAACTCGACTTGGTCCATTAATTGCCTTCTGGTATTCGGCTTCTCAGGGATTTTATGGAGTCATTTGGAACGAGCTTCTTACGCCTTCTGATCTAATTGGCACGTGTTTCTTGGTAGCGGTGTTCATAGTTAATCTCAACTCAACGCCACGCTACAATTGGTAATCCTATTTCGAATACACTTGCACACCAAACCTTTTTATAACAGGGGAGCAATAGATAGAAGCTTTAGGCAATGGAGAACCAGTGGAGGTTGTTTGCATAGACTTCAGCAAGGCATTTGATAAGGTAACAATAAATAGACTGCTTTTGGAGCTGAAAGATCAAGACATTGTCAGACCTCTCCCAAAATGGATTAAGGGTTTCCTCGTGGGTCGTAGACAGAAAGTAAGAGTCAATTCGAAGTGCTCCACCTGGAGACAGTTGAATATCACAATGCTCGGTTCTAGGTCATTTATTTTTTACACAGTATGTAAATGAACTCCTAAGTATAGTTGAGTCTCGCTACTATACTCTGATGATGTAAAACATCTGGCGTGAAATAACAGGAGACTCCGACGCATGGGAATTTCAGGCAGACTTAGATATTCTGATTCGCTAGTCTGAAGGGTAGCTAATGTCTACGAACGCACCCAAGTGTGCCTTCGTGCAACTTGGGGATACAAAGTTAAATGAATACAGTATGGGGAAAGTGCCAGTACCCGTGGTCCGGTCTAAAAAGGATCTTTGGGTGGCAGTAAGTCACGGCCCATTACCAGAAGATCGTAGCTAAGGGGTTTATAACCCTCTAAGCTTTAAGACGGACATTTACTAAGTTAGATACTACCATGTTCAATACAGTATACGGAACATTAGTGAGGACTAGGCTTGAGAACTGCATCCAGACTGCAGGCTCCTGTTCAAAGAGAGATTCAGATATCATGGAAAACGTACAGAGGGCGGCTATTCCTGCAATTCCATAACTCCGGGGTTTACCATACTCAGTCGTATCACAAACTAAGAGGTGATCTAATTTTGATGTGTAGAATACCAAGAGATAATTTCGGACTTTACATATCTTCTATTTTTCTTCCCATATCTCAGAGGACGAAGTAGGCGAGTAGAAAAGCCAAAAAACGAACAAAATACCAGTGGCATACAGGTTTTCACACTGAGTCGTTAATTCTTGGAACCTGTTGCCCGAAACTGTGGTGTACAAATCTTCAATTGACCCTTTCAATAGAAGACTGGACACTCACAGAAGCATACTAGAAAAGGAATAGCAAAGGCTATAGGCCTTCTGTCCTTACAACACAAAATCTCTATCTGAAATACTGTTACTTTTGTATCAGGTGGTTTTGAGATGTAACCTAACTCTCAAGCTGGTATCAGTGAAAACGAAATCATTTCAACTGGACAAATTGTAGTGACAACGAGATAATGCTGAAATATAATCTCAAATCATTCTTAAAGCAATTCATACACTGACTATGAAAGTCTACATTGGCTATTGAAGGCAGTGTAGGTCAGTAGCGGTCAACGCAAGAATGGTAAGTCACATATTGCCATATTGGCTATCTGTAATAAGTGTGAGCAAATTTTGTGCGCTCTCCAGGTCGTCAAATCACCTTGTCTGTTCTATTTTCCAGTCCTCCTGACGTCACGCTGCATGCCCCACTAGTACACAAAATACCTCCTGACCTGATGCGATCCGCTACATAATGGTCTTCCAAACTTCGGGTTGTAGACGAAGCCTATTTTTAATTTATCGGAATCTCAATGTTACTTTATAAATGTCACAAAAGCAATTGCTTGTCTGTGCTTTATATGATTATAACCGTCAACATACCGATGAGGTTAGTTGTTTTATTTTTGCTCAGCTTTTTTACCATTCGAGAGCTAGGCTTTAAAGTTCTATGGTGATTTTTTAACGCCTAGTTTGGTGAAGACGCTAATAAAATGCTGAGTCTTTCGGTGGCACTGAGCAACGATGTCAAAAGGCTTGAAGTGCGCTCCCCCCTAAATGCAAATTGTTTCTTCATCAATGGCCTGCTTAACACCTGAACCAAGGATAGGGAGTGAACTAGTCAGATGTGTCGAAAACTCCACTTATCTTGGAAGTCTGATCAACCCTAATGGGTTGGTGTCTGATGAAATCTCTGCACGGATTCAGGAACCTCGTTTGGCTTTAACCAACTTACGTGCCCGTTGTCAAAGGCGAGATATCCGTCTATCAATTAAAGGACGAGTATACTGCGCGGTAGTTCGTTCTGTTCTAATTTACGGCTGAGAAATGTGGTCATTCAGGGTAGAAGATATTCGCAGGTTACTAGTATTCGACCACAGATGTCTTGGGAATATTGCTCGCATCTGCTGGGATCACCGGTTATGTAATAGTGAGGTTAGACGCAAGGTATTAGGGATTTATGGTAAATCAATTGACGAGGTTGTAAATGTACGTCGACTGAGATGGTCGGACCACGTGTTACGCATGCCTGAACACCGATTACTACGACGCATAATGCTGACCAGTGTTGGGGATAGTTGGAAGAAAGTTAAGGTCGGCCAAACCAAAACGTGGCATCAGTGCTTGAAGTCACTAACTTCTGGTCCCAGCTATGTTAGTAGATGCAGACTGCTTGGTTGGGGACCGCGTGACTATCGTGATCAATAGTTGGGGACTGAGTGATATGGCTCAGGATCGATCACAATGGCGTAGGTTTATACACTCTGTCTTCCCTTGAGCTGTGAGATTAAAATTATTTTATATCTTTCTTCCTGTACTATGTCCTTTTACACAATATTATATATTACTACCACTTAAGTGACCACTATGAATTTGGTGTTCATCTTGTGCTAATGAGGTGTGGCAACTTGTGTGTAATATGTGCATAGTCCTACGTTGTAGCTGACTGACTGACTAGTAACTGCAACCGCAACATACACACGTTCGTTCACTTGGGGTGTTACTGAACCTACGCAAAGTTACTTATTAGAACGTTGAAAGGTGGTGACATCGCAATTTTAAGTGTTTTTCAGATACTATTCTTGTGTAGCATATTTTCACTTATTTTTATTATTTTTCTCTTTACAACCTTACATCGTGTACATCCTTAAATTTTCTTACATCTAATTCAGTCTATTTAGTAACATGCACAGAATTAGCATTGCCACTACTACTAACACTATAGCCACAAGTACAGTTAGTAGAGGTCTTTACTCAGGGACTAGTAATAAGTCGAAAATCCCTATAGCTAACCACAAGCTTATAATAAAACCAGGGACGATACCAGTTTATTTATTTATTTATTTGAACACATAAATATTGGTACAATAGAGCGCCAATATATATGCGCCACACAAAACAATGGGAATTCGAAGAGAAGTAGAAAGAAAAAGAAAAAAAAAACTAAGGAACGCAAAAGAAAAAGAGAGTAATGACGAAGAGGTACAATCAGAAGAAATCTTTCAGGTAAAGGAGACACAACCACTTTTTATGAAGAAAGTAAAAGAAGGTTACAGCAGGATCGCCACTGGCTTCTATTCTGAGCCATATCTGATAACGTCTCTAGCCACTGTGTTGCACCATCTCTCGGACCCCAGCCAGGGAGTCGTGAAGGACCAACACAAGCCAGTCCTTTACAGCTTTCTTTCATGCCACGACACCATGTCATGCACTGACCACCTCTCCGCTTCTTCCAACCAGTCCCAGAGTCGGCAAATAATGCACGACGTGGAATTCTCTGGGACGACATTCGGAGAACATGTCCAAGCCACCGAAGTCGGTGTTTCAAGATGGTGACACCAATTGAGTTATCATCTCTGTGCCCGAACACACGATGCCGAACCTCTGTATTACTAACATGGTGTTGCCACTGGATGTCAGCAATCCTTCGGAGACAACGATGATCGAACACAGAGAGTCGTCTAACGTCCTCAACTCGGAGAGGCCAGGTTTCACAAGCATAGAGCAAAACTGCTCTCACCGACGCGTTGTAGATCCGACCTTATACGGCCAGACTGACATCACGAAGGCGCCAAAGGTGGCCCAGATTGGCATAAGCCGCTCTGGCTTTCACTATTCGTGCATTGATCTCATCACTCACACCCCCACCAGCACTTATGCAGCTACCCAGATACACGAACTTCTCAACTACGTCTATCTGCTCACCATCCAGGGTGAGTACAGGATTGGGATCCTGCCAGTCTTGTAGAAGTACTTTGCACTTCGAAGGTGCAAAGCACATACCATACCTACGGACATTGATTGCCAACTGATTAAGTGCGGATTGCATGCCTTGGGCATTATCGCACAGTAAGACAATATCGTCCGCATACTCAAGGTCGAGAAGTCTTTCTCCAGGCAACAGATCCACACCACCATTACTTACATTCATCAGAGCTGTTTCCAGAATGTCATCGATGGCAAAGTTGAAGAGGAATGGTGAGATTGGGCAACCCTGCCTAACCCCACTGCTCGAATGGAACAATGGAGAGAGGTGGTTGTATGCCCTCACTCTGCCTGAGGTGTTTTTATACAGGGCTTTTAGGATGTTAATAAACTTCTCAGGCACACCCTTCTTCAATAGACAATCCCAGAGAACAGTCCTATCCAACGAATCGAAGGCAGCCCTGATGTCAAGAAACACAACGATTGTTGGCCTTTGAAAAGTATGGCGGTGTTCTAACATTTGGCGGAGGGTGAAGATATGATCAATACATCCTCGACCAGAACGAAACCCAGCCTGCTCCTCGCGAGTCAATCTTTCTCGGGTTTTGAACAACCTACGAAGAATGACGGAAGCCAATAGCTTGGACGCAATCGGAAGTAGACTTATCCCCCGATAGTTGTTACAAGAACGACGTGAACCCTTTTTAAAGATAGGGACAACTATCGACTCATTCCATGACGTTGGTACACTCTCTAGATCCCAAACCTTTGTAAACAACGTCGTCAATTCCTTAGTCAAAAAGTCACCACCATCTTTAAAAAGAGCCGGAGGTAAGTCATCTGGGCCAGGTGATTTGTAACGCTTCAAGAGTTGGAGTTCCTTGCGGACTTCCTCCTCATTTGGTGGATCAGTCGTCACCGGCCATGGAGGGCAGGACAGTCTGACCGATGTTACCGGAGCAGCAGGCCAGTTGAACTGCCCTTCGAAAAATTCTGCCCATCGTCCAAGACGTCGATGGATGTTAGTGATTGGCATCCCATCATCCTCGCAGATTGTTTCACTCACACCAGACTTCTTGCTGCCAGTGGCTCGGATGAGTTGGAAGAGCTTCTGGTAGTTACCAGATGCAGCTGCTGCTTCCAGCTCATTAGCACGCATCGACCACCAGGCTTCTCGGTCCTTACGCAAGCTTTGCCCGATTTCCTTACGTAAAAACCTTCGTTTATGGTCAAACTCACGGTTACCCGGAGTAGACCGACGGGCTTCAATGAGTTGTAAGGAACCAGAAGAAACCCAGTGCTTAAAAGCGGGACGTTTCGCAAACCCACAACTGACTGTTCCCGCCATTTTCATGGCGTCATGCAATTGCAACCAATGCTCATCTATACTTTTCGGTGGAGTGGTAGCTAGCCTAGAGGCTAGCTCGGTTCGATACTTACTTGCAACAGAAGTTGCAACCAGCTTGCTAACATCAATCCGTTGATGGCGTTCACTTCGTTGTCCACTGAAAAGTAAGGCAAGATTGGCGCAGACCAAGGCGTGGTCAGAGTCCAGATAGGTACTCCAAAAGGAGCGGCAGTCTTGTACACAACCACGCCAGCGGTAGCTGATCGCGATGTGATCAATCTGAGTCCAGGCTTGAGATGCAGAGGGAGGACGCCAGGTGGCACATCGGCGATGACTGTGCCGAAAGTTAGTGCTAGCCAGAAACAGGTTGTGGTCTGCGCAAAGTTGCAGTAGACGGTCCCCGTTATCTGACCTGCGACCAACGAGTCCCCATCGGCCACCTAAACGACTCTCTTCTGTGCCTAGACGCCCGACCTGAGCATTCAAGTCTCCGGCTAGTACTACAATATCTGTCGAACGCACTTTCTGGAGAAGAACTGATAACTGGTGGTAAAACTCATCCTTGATTGCATCCGGGCTGCAATCTGTCGGAGCATAGGCGGAGATGACGAAAAGACATCGTTTCTCACGCCGATTTCTTCTCACTTTGATGGAACTTTCTAATCTAACAGCACATAACCGACTGTTAATGGGGATCCAATCGACTAGTGCTGCCTCAGCTCTAGCGCTTAGTGCGACACCAACGCCAGCAAAACCAGACGAAGATGCCACAGGGTCCCCGGATAAGCGCACGTAAAACAAGCTTTTCGAAGCGACAGATGGAGATCGAATTTGTAGTACTTCGCCAGAGTCTTGAATACGGGTCTCGGATAGACAACACACGTCGATATTAAGACTTTCCAAAGACATAGCCAGCCCTATCTGTTGTCCGACCTGCATAAATGTGCGAACGTTGAAGGCAGCCAGTTTGAATGATGCACGTGGTTTCAGAAAATCTGCTTCAGTCCTCGTATTCGGTGGTAACATACAATTTTCAACCGGACAGTGACTCGAGAACGTTTAGATACAGTCGGAATTCCACCAAAGACGAGCCGCTGTATAAGTATAAAAGAAGGTGAATAATGTGGAAAATAATAATAATAATGATAATAATAACAATAATGACAATAATAGTAGTAATAATAATATTAGTATTAATAATGACAATAATTGAAGTGATCATAATTTGAATCAATTGATTGTTTTTCAAAGCGACAAAAGTAGTTTCCATAGACATAAACAGTTCATCATTTGTGTGTGGGCTGTGATACTGCCCGGGTGCCCAAACCGAAGCAGGTGGTTATCTTAGGGGGCCACTCCCCGAGCCTTTGACCTAAAGGTCTAACCCACAAGGCAGTGGAGCATCGTAAGGAGATGCAGTCCCATGGTAGCCGGTGACCAACGATTGGTTCATACACCATTCGTTCCCGCAGGATACTGGAGCCCATGTGCACCATTGGTTTGGAATCCGGTTAAAGCGCCGGACATTCGCTTTTCGTCCTCTCATTTTCGTAAACAACACCCGGGTGAGAGAAGGCAGTGAGTAGGACTTCCCTGGCAGAGGCTATATACGCGTGGCCGTGTGAGAGTATTTCGAGAGGGAGAGCGGACTCTCCCCACTCTCGGCCGTACCAGGGCATTCAGGGGGCGGACGATACCAGGCAATGAATCTGTGTGCTGCAGAGGCCACGACTCAAACACAAAAAGCGAGTCTCTAACTAAGCACTAAAGATCACATGCACACATTCCTACTCCTAGTAAGATTAGCGAGCAACGAAGAAATAGGCTGGTTAAAATCAGCGGTTAGTGCATCCTAATCCAAATTCTGTGGTAGCTAGGTCCACTGTTGCTGTGATTGTTTATTTTTATTTATTTATTCGAACACATATTGGTACAAAGGGGCACCGAATACATATGCGCCATACAACTCACTTGATTTGTGTGAGGGCTGTAATATTGCCTGGGTGCCAAAACCGATGCTGGTGATCTTCTTAGGGGGCCTCATCCGGAGCCTTCGACCTAAAGGTCTAATACACAAGGCAGTGCAGCAACGTTAGGAGATGCAGTACCATGGTAGACCAACAATCACTTGACTTCATTTGTCTTCCATACTCTTTATGCCTATGGAAATTACCTTTCTCACTGAAAAGCAAACAATTGATTCAGATTATTATCATTACAATTATTGTCATTATTAATACTAATATTATTATTACTACTATTATTGTCATTATTGTTATTATTATCATTATTATTATTATTATTTTCCACATTATTCACCTTCTTTTATACTTATACAGCGGCTCGTCTTTGGTGGAATTCCGACTGTATCTAAACGTTCTCGAGTCACTGTCCGGTTGAAAATTGTATGTTACCACCGAATACGAGGACTGAAGCAGATTTTCTGAAACCACGTGCATCATTCAAACTGGCTGCCTTCAACGTTCGCACATTTATGCAGGTCGGACAACAGATAGGGCTGGCTATGTCTTTGGAAAGTCTTAATATCGACGTGTGTTGTCTATCCGAGACCCGTATTCAAGACTCTGGCGAAGTACTACAAATTCGATCTCCATCTGTCGCTTCGAAAAGCTTGTTTTACGTGCGCTTATCCGGGGACCCTGTGGCATCTTCGTCTGGTTTTGCTGGCGTTGGTGTCGCACTAAGCGCTAGAGCTGAGGCAGCACTAGTCGATTGGATCCCCATTAACAGTCGGTTATGTGCTGTTAGATTAGAAGGTTCCAGCAAAGTGAGAAGAAATCGGCGTGAGAAACGATGTCTTTTCGTCATCTCCGCCTATGCTCCGACAGATTGCAGCCCGGATGCAATCAAGGATGAGTTTTACCACCAGTTATCAGTTCTTCTCCAGAAAGTGCGTTCGACAGATATTGTAGTACTAGCCGGAGACTTGAATGCTCAGGTCGGGCGTCTAGGCACAGAAGAGAGTCGTTTAGGTGGCCGATGGGGACTCGTTGGTCGCAGGTCAGATAACGGGGACCGTCTACTGCAACTTTGCGCAGACCACAACCTGTTTCTGGCTAGCACTAACTTTCGGCACAGTCATCGCCGATGTGCCACCTGGCGTCCTCCCTCTGCATCTCAAGCCTGGACTCAGATTGATCACATCGCGATCAGCTACCGCTGGCGTGGTTGTGTACAAGACTGCCGCTCCTTTTGGAGTACCTATCTGGACTCTGACCACGCCTTGGTCTGCGCCAATCTTGCCTTACTTTTCAGTGGACAACGAAGTGAACGCCATCAACGGATTGATGTTAGCAAGCTGGTTGCAACTTCTGTTGCAAGTAAGTATCGAACCGAGCTAGCCTCTAGGCTAGCTACCACTCCACCGAAAAGTATAGATGAGCATTGGTTGCAATTGCATGACGCCATGAAAATGGCGGGAACAGTCAGTTGTGGGTTTGCGAAACGTCCCGCTTTTAAGCACTGGGTTTCTTCTGGTTCCTTACAACTCATTGAAGCCCGTCGGTCTACTCCGGGTAACCGTGAGTTTGACCATAAACGAAGGTTTTTACGTAAGGAAATTGGGCAAAGCTTGCGTAAGGACCGAGAAGCCTGGTGGTCGGTGCGTGCTAATGAGCTGGAAGCAGCAGCTGCATCTGGTAACTACCAGAAGCTCTTCCAACTCATCCGAGCCACTGGCAGCAAGAAGTCTGGTGTGAGTGAAACAATCTGCGAGGATGATGGGATGCCAATCACAAACATCCATCGACGTCTTGGACGATGGGCAGAATTTTTCGAAGGGCAGTTCAACTGGCCTGCTGCTCCGGTAACATCGGTCAGACTGTCCTGCCCTCCATGGCCGGTGACGACTGATCCACCAAATGAGGAGGAAGTCCGCAAGGAACTCCAACTCTTGAAGCGTTACAAATCACCTGGCCCAGATGACTTACCTCCGGCTCTTTTTAAAGATGGTAGTGACTTTTTGACTAAGGAATTGACGACGTTGTTTACAAAGGTTTGGGAACTAGAGAGTGTACCAACGTCATGGAATGAGTCGAGAGTAGTCCTTATCTTTAAAAAGGGTTCACGTCGTTCCTGGGACAACTATCGGGGGATAAGTCTACTACCTTTGGCGCCTTCGTGATGTTAGTCTGACTGTAAAAGGTCGGATCTACAACGCGTCGGTGAGAGCAGTTTTGCTCTATGCTTGTGAAACCTGGCCTCTCCGAGTTGAGGACGTTAGACGACTCTCTGTGTTCGATCATCACTGTCTCCGAAGGATTGCTGACATTCAGTGGCAACACCATGTCAGTAATGCAGAGGTTCGGCATCGTGTGTTCGGGCACAGAGATGATAATGCAATTGGTGTCACTATTTTGAAACACCGACTTCGGTGGCTTGGACATGTTCTCCGAATGTCGTCCCAGAGAATTCCACGTCGTGCAATATTTGTCGATACTGGGACTGGTTGGAAGAAGCGGAGAGGTGGTCAGTGCATGACATGGTGTCGTGGCATGAAAGAAAGCTGTAAAGGACTGGCTTCTGTCGGTCCTTCACGACTCCCTGGCTGGGGTCCGAGAGATGGTGCAACACAGTGGCTAGAGACGTTATCAGATATGGCTCAGAATAGAAGCCAGTGGCGATCCTGCTGTAACCTTCTTTTACTTTCTTCATAAAAAGTGGTTGTGTCTCCTTTACCTGAAAGATTTCTTCTGATTGTACCTTTTCGTTCCGTCGTTACTACCCCACTACCTTACTCCAATCTCTTCGTCATTGTTCTCTTTTTCTTTTGCGCTCCTTAGTTTTTTTTTCTTTCTACTCCTCTTCGAATTCTCATTGTTTTGTGTGGCGCATATATATTGGCGCTCTCTTGTACCAATATTTATGTGTTCAAATAAATAAATAAATAAATTGGACTGATGCCATTTTTTAACATAAGCACCATTAATTTTATAACCATAGGACTAGAACATATTCCCCAGTCCACCTATTTGGCAGTTAACTATTTGTCGTTTGAATAAAAATACACAAACAAGGGCTTAAATAGGGTACAACGAAATTAAATCTGACCATATTCGTAATTCATGTCTTGTAAGATCTTTTCTCACTGGTTACTAGGTTGCTATTAACTTTGTCCAATTCCATCATTTCGCATACCAACTGATCAATTATGTGATTGTTAATTACTTTTAAGCATTAACACATGTATTTATTCATTGTTTATTATGTAAAATAATGATTGATATCTACATTTTGAGGTCTAGAAATACTGTAGTTTATGCTACTTATATCGACAAATATAAGTAGTATGTAACACCAATCAGAAGAGTGATGCATGGCAGCAGAAGGCTATGAGGGTCGACTTGAAGAAAACAAAAACGAAAATAGAAAAGAAATTATGACTTGGAAGAATCACGCATAATTTGAAGGACAAATACTGGAATTTCGCAAATCAAGTATTCAATGCATGGTTCTCATATTTTACTAGGAGATTCTGTAGTTTTGTATTAAAATGCACTGATCGTCCCCACCTGTGTTCTCGTTCATTACAATACTACTAAACGTTATTAAGTCAATGAAGCGAGTTTCTAACTTTCCACCCAGTGGCAGAAAGTCGAATGGTTAAAATCTAAACTCTATCTATCCATTCATTCATTATTTCAGATGTTTTTGCTATAACCTCATCTTATTTCCTTTTAATCTTACTCATACTTTTTATTTTGCTGATAGCTTTCATTTAAAAAAGGCGACGTACTAAGAGTTTTGAAACAATTAGAAGGTGGTTGGTGGGAAGGTAGTTTGAATGGATTCGTTGGCTGGTTTCCTAGTAACTATGTAACATATGCTACCAGTTCAGGTATTTTTCTGTCACTAATAAATTTACTTGTAGATGAGAAGGGTAACTCCACTACTGATGAAAGTTCGTTGATACACTTACAAAACTTTCAAAACGAGGTGAGAAATCGAATATATTATCTACCTGTTTATTCGGATCTATCTTCATAAGATTATACAACATGTTTTAGAAGGTGAATTAAGACAAGTTAGTGAACTATCTCAGTTATTGTCAGTGTTTATGATTAACCTGGAGCCTCTACTTCACTTGTAATTTCATGTACTTAATACGACCACCTCTCTTTTGTAGATCATTCTTGAACAAACTCGTCAATTTAAGAGACATATTATTTCAAACCATTAGTATACATCAACATTTGGCCTCGGCTTTAACAGAAATGAAATGGTAGGTTTGTTCGTCGTTCTTCTGAATACATATTTACCTTTTATTACTCATGGATATTTTTTTCCCAATAGTACACATGGACCGAAATGTATGGGTCGGCTATTTTTAGATTTTGCTCCAGCAATTAACGCAGTCGGGTGTGATTATTCAAAAATTTATTTACATGTTATAACAGGATTAGAAGAACATATGTAAGTTATTATCTTAATCACTTAAATTAATTTTCCATCCTACAAGTCTTGTAAGTTTCTAAGACTTTTAGTCACTATTTAAATACTCGTTCTATTAAGGGAAGACTAGATTGCTATGATGCATACCGTTACCCAATGTGACATGGTTGTGGGTAGACAACACAAAAATTTCAGGTATTTAGTCAATATGATTGATTCTGTATTACTGACGAATGATCTTTTTTAAGGCCAGATGCAAAATTTTTGTTGAAGGATAAACTATTTTTAATGAGATTATAAATTCCGGTAAGGTTTTCTGTGAAACGTAGCATATGTGTTAGTGACCGTATACCTCAAGGTGCTGTGATGATTTGCGTAAGTACTGGGTGTTAAAATCACCGAGGTCGTCGAACCCAGGTATGAAACGAATCCAAAAGGCATTTTCTATCGGGTTGTGTGGAGAAGTTTACAGTTGCGTCAGACTTTGGACTTTTCCTGTCTGCGACGGCGACCACTTTATACTTTAATGTGTGGTAGTGGTCGTTGTCGTTGAGACAAAGAGGTACAGCCTACTGGCTATTTAATATTTGATTTCCTTTCCTCTCATTGATTTCTACTCCGGACTCACTGAGTGTAACCCCTTGTAATTATATTGAATAAAGTATCTAGTTCTATATTATGGGTCGTGAATCGTTGATCTGATATAACGTGACTAGTGTTATCGTCACATTAACGCATTATCGTAGTACACTCGAGAGTGAGAAGTATATCTTAGACAATCAGTTATATCACTATGACTAACATTGTATACCATTTGTAGCTTTGGTGAAGTTGACTCTCTCAGCTGAGTGGATTAGTTGCCAATCCTTCTTTTAGCGTTCTAGACAATAACGAGATCTTTGCAAACAAACTATCCAAACTGTGGAGAACTCAATCTTAAAACCTTAGTATCAATTAGATCGATGCTAATTTCGTTCATTGGTGGTAACATTATTAGTATTAATACGAAAGATTAGAAACATAGGATGTGACTTAGGAAGAAAATACTGGTTTATTGAATGCCTACACGGCTTAGTCCAACTGTAAGTGACCTTATGGACTGATGTCATATCTTGGTTTGTCTCTCTCTAGCTCTCTTCTCACCTACTCCTACACCTTCAAATGCCCTGGTACAGTCGAGAGTGGGGAGAGTCCGCTCTCCCTCTCGAAATGCTCTCACACGGCCACGCGTATATAGCCTCTGCCAGGGAAGTCCTACTCACTGCCTTCTCTCACCCGGGTGTTGTTTACGAAAATGAGAGGACGAAAAGCGAATGTCCGGCGCTTTAACCGGATCCCAAATCAATGGTGCACATAGGCTCCAGTATCCTGCGGGAACGAATGGCGTATGAACCAATTTTCGGTCACCGGCTACCATGGGAATGCATCTCCTTACGATGCTCCACTGCCTTGTGGGTTAGACCTTTAGGTCAAAGGCTCGGGGTGTGGCCCTTTAAGATAACCACCTGCTTCGGTCTGGGCACCCGGGCAGTATCACAGCCCACACGCAAATGATGGACTCTCTGTATCTATGGAAACTACATTTCTCGCTCTGAATAACAGTCAAATGATCCAAATTATTATCATTACTATTATTGTTATTATTATTATTATTTACTACATCGTTATTCACCCTCTTTTATTCCTACTCCGTCTATACTTATTTTTTCGGTTTATACAGCAGCTCGTCTTTGGTGGAATTTCGACTGTATCTAAACGTTTTCGAGTCACTGTCTGGTTGAAAATTGTATGTTACCACCGAATATGAGTAGTGAAGCAGTTTTTCTGAAACCACATGAACCATTCAAACTGGCTGCCTTCAACGTTCGCACACTTATGCAGGTCGGACAACAGATAGGGCTGGCTATGTCTTTGGAAAGTCTTAATATCGATGTCTGCTGTCTATCCGAGACTCGTATTCAAGACTCTGGTGAAGTACTGCAAATTCGATCTCCATCTGTCGCTTCGTAAAGCTTGTTTTACGTGCGCTTATCCGAGGGCCCTGTGACATCTTCGTCTGGTCTTGCTGGCGTTGGTGTCGCACTAAGCGCTAGAGCTGAGGCAGCACTAGTCGATTGGATCCCCATTAACAGTCGGTTATGTGCTGTTAGATTAGAAGGTTCCAGCAAAGTGAGAAGAAATCGGCGTGAGAAACGATGTCTTTTCGTCATCTCCGCCTATGCTCCGACAGATTGCAGCCCGGATGCAATCAAGGATGAGTTTTACCACCAGTTATCAGTTCTTCTCCAGAAAGTGCGTTCGACAGGTATTGTAGTACTAGCCGGAGACTTGAATGCTCAGGTCGGGCGTCTAGGCACAGAAGAGAGTCGTTTAGGTGGCCGATGGGGACTCGTTGGTCGCAGGTCAGATAACGGGGACCGTCTACTGCAACTTTGCACAGACCACAACCTGTTTCTGGCTAGCACTTACCTCCGGATCTTTTTAAAGATGGTAGTGACTTTTTGACTAAGGAATTGACGACGTTGTTTACAAAGGTTTGGGAACTAGAGAGTGTACCAACGTCATGGAATGAGTCGAGAGTAGTCCTTATCTTTAAAAAGGGTTCACGTCGTTCCTGGGACAACTATCGGGGGATAAGTCTACTACCTTTGGCGCCTTCGTGATGTTAGTCTGGCTGTAAAAGGTCGGATCTACAACGCGTCGGTGAGAGCAGTTTTGCTCTATGCTTGTGAAACCTGGCCTCTCCGAGTTGAGGACGTTAGACAACTCTCTGTGTTCGATCATCGCTGTCTCCGAAGGATTGCTGACATCCAGTGGCAACACCATGTCAGTAATGCAGAGGTTCGGCATCGTGTGTTCGGGCACAGAGATGATAATGCAATTGGTGTCACTATTTTGAAACACCGACTTCGGTGGCTTGGACATGTTCTCCGAATGTCGTCCCAGAGAATTCCACGTCGTGCAATATTTGTCGATACTGGGACTGGTTGGAAGAAGCGGAGAGGTGGTCAGTGCATGACATGGTGTCGTGGGATGAAAGAAAGCTGTAAAGGACTGGCTTCTGTCGGTCCTTCACGACTCCCTGGCTGGGGTCCGAGAGATGGTGCTACACAGTGGCTAGAGACGTTATCAGATATGGCTCAGAATAGAAGCCAGTGGCGATCCTGCTGTAACCTTCTTTTACTTTCTTCATAAAAAGTGGTTGTGTCTCCTTTACCTGAAAGATTTCTTCTGATTGTACCTATCTGTTCCGCCATTTTTACCATGATTATTATTACACCACCTTACGTCAATCTCTTTTTTTCTTTTTTTTTTCTCCTTCCCCTTAAATTCTCATTGTTTTGCGTGGCGCATATATATTGGCGCTCTCTTGTACCAATATTTATGTGTTTAAATAATATAAATAATAAAATAACTCCTACACCAGCCACCAGTATGCATTGAGATAGTCGGTATTTACGTACACGCAAAACAAGTCACAACCGTTTCAGTCGATGAGGAATAGATACCTCATCAATTTTACGTGTTATCCTTCATCTAGCCTCAGCATTAATCACTTGATAGTCCCAAAATATATGACCAGTGTGTTGGAGTCCTGTTACCCCTCATGGAGGAGCATAGACAGCCCACCAGTATTCTCCATCTAACTTTGTCCTGGGCAATCCTTTCCAGTTGCTGTTCGTCCCTTCGCTATGTGCTTCCAATTCTCGATACAGTGTGTTCTTTAGTCTTCCTCTTTTGCGCTTCCCTTGAAGATTCCAAGTTAGTGCTTGCCTTGGAATGCAGTTTGGTGATTTCCGCAATGTGTGTCCTATTCGCTTCCAAAGTCTTTTCCTAATTTCCTCTTCACCTGGAAGTTGGTTCTTTCTCTTCCACAGTAGTTTATTGTTGATAGTATCCGGCCAACGGACATTGAGTATATTGTGTAAACAATTGTTTGTAAATACTTTTACTTTTTTGATGGTGGTTGTGGTAGTTCTCCAAGTTTCATCTCCATACAGTAGAACTGTCTTGGCCTTCGTATTGATGATTCTGTCTTTGACATTGTTTGAAGTTTGTTTTGAATTATATATGTCCTTCAACTGTAGAAATGCTGTCCTTGCTTTGCCAATCTTTGCCTTTACGTCTGCTCCGGGTCATCCACGTTCATTGATGATGCTTCATAGGTACGTGAATGATTCCACATCTTCCAGTTTCTCCATCGAGTGTGATCGGGTTGGTGTTCTCCGTGTTGTATTTGAGGATCCAGCTTTTTCCCTTGTGTATGTTGAGGCTTACTGCTACACAGGCTGCTGCTATAATGGCTGCCTTAACATGAATTTTTTGCTCAGTCGGCACTAGCGGGTAGTTGGAGAAGACTTTAGAATATTTTTATTGCAATTCTTACTCCCATTCAACCTTGTTTATTTGCCATATAATTCCATTCCTACTCAACCGTGTTCTGATCTGGGGACTTGTCAAGTGAAGTAGTGTCCGAAGAATACTAAGCCATAAGACTGATCATAACACTGGTAAGTTAGGAAGGTTGTCTGTTGTTGTTTATCATGTCTGCCTTTTTCATTTCGTTTTCTTTCGCTTTCAACGACCAATCACGGCCATTGGATAGACCTTTTGTCATTCTGTTCCTAAGTAGTTTTAGATCCTCATCGTTTTCTGAGTCTGATGCGAGGAGTTTTCGAGCATTTATCAATTGAACAAACGCTACGGAAATACACTGATTTTTCCCAACCTTTTGGTTCAAGTCACTTGAAGATATCACTTCTGTTTTTCACAGCTAATTGGATTTAATTTGAGCCTACAACACCTTGCTGATTGACTTACTACTTCTTTAGTTGTTTCGGAGATATTTTTAAAACTTTTCCACTGTTAAGCGGAACCCCAATTGGTCTTCCTTTTGGGGGGTTTCTACTTCTAGGGAGGTGCAAATAAACACTTGCCCCACATTAGAGCATGATCAGAATCTTAAAATGCGCTTCAGAATGAATGGGATTGTTCTGTTGAGATTTTGCAACTATGCTTAATGACAGTGCAGCTTATTCAATTCCATCATCGAGTCGGTTGTAGAGGTCACCATTTCAAATAATGTCTGTTTTTATACTTAACATTGGTACTTGGTAAGAATAAACATTTGGATGAACAAATTTTCAGCTGATGATTCTCAGTTTCTGTGCGTTTAGCTAGATTACTGTAAGACCCATTTAATTGTCTCGTTGGCTTAGACTATCTATTCAAGTATTAAAATCATGTGCTAATATTATGATATTTGAGCGATTGACTTTTTGATCGAGAATTGAAAGCTCTCTATAACACTCATCCTTTACTTCATCGGATTTGTAGTCAGTGGGAGCGTAGGCGTAGATGGCGGCGAAGCAATGGCGTGTATCTCTATATCTCCTTTCCCTTACGTTCTTGCACACAGGCGACTGGCTATCGGAATCAAGTTTACGAGAGCCTGTTCTGCTTTCAGCGAGGCCATAAAACGTGGTAGTCAAGTCTCCTGATGCGCGAAGGATAAATCGCACCAGATTTCTTTATTGAGTAGGTGAGGTCAAGTTAATTATTAAGCTCTGATCTTGTTTGTGTATTTTGGAAAAATAGCATATATCGATAGCACAAAACTAGTGTTATGATTACTCTTATTACCACCCAGCTACTCCTATTGCTTAGTATTCTTGGACATTACTTCACTCGACAAGTCCCCAAATCAGAACACAGTTGAACAGGAACAAAATTATATTCCAAATAACATTGGTAAATGGAAGTAGGAAACACAATAAGAAAAGTGTTAGTATATTTATATTTTGACATAAGAAGATTCTAGATTCTATTTCAAGTATCGACTATCGCTGATTGGATAAGAAATAGTCAATCAGCCTGTTCCAACGTAATCATGCACGGAACGTGCTTTAATACAATCTATATTCCGCTAACATCGATTTTCATCTGAAGTCTATTGCCCAAATTGACATGAGAAACAAACAATGAATACTTCAACATATAGTTTCGAGCTCTTTTTGAAGACCAGGAATACATTTCCGTGAACTCGAATTTTTATTATTGGTGGCACATGTAGATAACGATAGAGTTATGGGACAAGGGTTAGTATTGGGGATAGAAAAAATACTATGAAGTGACAAAGAGGTCCGCTCATGGACAACAGAGTATCGAGTATGGGGGCGCTTATGACTTTCCTGTTGCCCACATCGTGGAAGGATATTTCTTGATGGATCCGAATGGGAAACTAGGTTAGTAGAGAAATCTTAGATAACTGAGAGCGTGACCGCAAAGCCCAAGGGATAACAGCTTAAGGCCGGTTACATAAGGGACTTTTTTCGATAAGTCTTTGATGTAATTAAGGTCCGTTCCTCTTCTCACTAAAATACCTGTTTGTTCAATTTTTTTTCGATACAGTACAGAAGTAACAAAATATATGAGTTCATTTAATATTAAATTACAATTGGTCCATTGTAAGCAACAACTCATTCTTATATTTGAACGTTTGGGTCGTTATCCTTTACTTTTAAAAGAAATGGAACGCTATTTAGAGGTATGTTGATTAAACTTATAAAGTTCAATTAATTTCGTAGTATGGCTGTACTATCAAACATTATTGTTTGTGCTTCTCTAAGTTATTTCATATAACATTGCTCCATCAAAAACGGGGTCTGTAGATATTAGTATATATCAAAAGTAATGTCGGTAAGCGATCGCTTGTCAACTCTTTCCTACAGCTGACTGCTATCTGTTACTTCACTGAAATTTGATTAAATTGTAGTTGACAACCGCGTAACCGTGCTAGATAATGTAATCGTGTCGTTTGTTGCTTAACAACTGGCCGATTATCATTGCGTAGTAACGAACAATCTGTGAGAAACTATTTTCTTATATCTTTCAACGTCGTTTACATTATGCAATCCTAATCTTTATTATCATGAAATCTTGAGTGTCGGAGAGGAGTCGACGGGAAAATCAGTTTTACATTAACAGCTAATTGTTCTTTAAGATCCTTTGAATCAACACCATAACTTTTCTCTTAATGGCAGTGGAGACAATTAGGGGAGCAGTTTTTCTGAGTTTTAGTATGATAGGATATGTGTATAACATTTATATGTTGTGTTTGTGTACATGAAATGGGTTTTTTATCTTAAGCATTAAGATATTATCATAAAAATGCTAAAAGAACTACCTCAGTGAATATTCTTTTTTTAAATACTTCCTTGTAATTACCTCCATAAAGGTAGAACTGCCTATTGTTTTTGACTATGCAACTGCGTGATGGAAAACGGATTAGAATATTTACGTTTACCTTAGTCACATGCATTCTATATGATGTTGATCATATTTTGATAAACCCAAGAAGGTGTAAATGTGTAATTTTTGTGAACGGTTTTAGAAATTCAGAAGAATACATCTTAGCACACATTTCGGCCATAAATCTGACATATGTGATTGAGTAATACCGCCACTGTAACATGCTGTCTCTGAGATTTTGTGAACTAGAAAATGCAAGAAACCAATTCACTTTACATTTTTATCGGATAAGTAATTGATTGAACTGTTCTCATGGTGGTTCTGTAGTTTAACTGTAACTTATCGAAGTATTTAGCAGAGCCCTTAGAATAGTCAAGACACTTCTAAACCAAACATTACTTTTGAAAGTTCATAACATATCATACAGTAAACCATATCAGTGCATTTCATTCAATCTGATTGAGATACTATGGGAAATGCTACCAGTTCCGATAATGCTGTTTAGGACATCATAAACTTAGCGGTCGTGATTTGTTCTTCTTTCCAAGTTCTTTGGTTTTAGCGTAAAGGAGGATTGTGAGTTAAAACTGTCAATGTAATTAACTGTATAAATACGAAGTCTAAACTTAAGATAATATTGGTAAAGTTATCTCGCTTTTTCTTTAGGAGCCACATGTTGATCGACCCGACATTCTTCGTGCAATGAATGTTTACAGTGAAATAACGGTGAGTTTTGAAATTTTCGTATCATTACTTGATTGATTAACCTTATTCAATACATTGATAACTAACTAACTAGCTAACACACATTTAAATTATGAGGGCTAGTGATACTACCTGATTGCCTGAACGCAATTAGATGAAACAGGTTTGAACTTGCAACTTAGTAACTGAAAGTCGAACGTTCTGACCACTGAGCAAACACTCCACTAATTAGGTTCTCATTGATTTGGTTCCAAGACAAATAATCCCACGCATAGGTTAAGTTAGTATGTGAGCTATACTTAGTTACCTGAGGGCAAATAAGTGTATGGACAGGTAGGAATAAGTTCAATAATTTTAGACTTCTAAGTTTAGTGATCAAGATTTTATAGCTACAAATATTTGAGCGACAGTTTTTGTTGTAAACATTTCACATGATCCATGCTCACATATCGTATCTATATGGCACTTTTGTAACGTGAATTCAAATTCATTGTCAAATGGTAAAGTAAACTGAATCATTGAGTTAGTACATTGCAAGATAACAGATTTGTGGATTCCTAAATAGCACCAGTATTAAAGATAGTCTTAACCAAGAGGTTAAATAAATAATGTTCACAAATCTCCAAACAAATCCTATTCGGTAAAAAACTATGAACGATTTTGTGTTTCTTTTAATCGTTACCAATCTTCGTTAACTAATATACGATGTACAGTAAATATTCAGCTATTATTGTCACATAATATCGTCGTCAGGTAACTGTCCAGAGTGAAGGTTTTATACAAACATTGGTATAAGGAGGTACCAAATTGTTATAATTTTCTCTTATTACAACCCAGCTATTCCTATTGCTTATTATTCTTGGATACCAATTCACTCGACAAAATCCACAAATCAGAACACGGTTGAACAGGAAAGAGATTATATTCCAAATAACAAGGTTATATAGAAGTAATAAACACAATAGGAAAAACGTTAGTATATTTATAGTTATACATGAGAAGATTTCTAGTGTTCACCAAGTATCGACTAGCGCTGATTGGATATGAATTAGCCGATCAGCGTGCACCAAATCAATTGTGCGTGGAGCATTCTTTAATCCAATCTATGTCCCACTAACAAAAATGTACATGGAATATTGTCCGAGCGCCCTAACTGAAGTAGGTGGTTTCTTATAAGACCACTCTTCGAGCCTTTAACCTAGAGGTCTAATCCACAAGGCAGTGGAGCAACGTTAGGAGATGGATTACCATGATAGCCGATGACCAACAATAGGTTGATACGCCATTTGTCCCCTCAGTATACTGGAACCCATGTGCACCATTAGTTTGGAATCAGGGTTTTCCAACTCCGCTATGTAAATCCTCCGTACCCACTAAAGTGGTTAAAAACACTGGATATTCGCCTTTCATCCTCTTAATTTTGTAAACAACACGGGAAGGTAGTGAGTAGGACTTCCCTGGCAGTGGCTGTTTACGCGTGGTCATGTGAGAGCATTTGGAGAGGAAGAACTGACTCTCCTACCCTCGGCCGTAACAAGGCGTTTTGGGAAAAGTGAAGGTACTTTGTTATGTATGTTAATAAACGCTTATGTGCAGTAATTTGAAAGAGATTGGGCGTAGACTGATGGCTCATTAAGCGCATGAAATCTACTTACTTTCAACCAGTGAAAGCAATTGTACTTAGTTCGTTGTTCTAATTGATCTCAAGTTAATAAAATGAACTGTGTTTAAAAAACTAATTGTATAACATGTTTATTCGAAACAATTAGGTAATTGAAACAGCAATCAAATAAGGTGAGGTCTCAAACGTTTTACATTCAAAGAGTATAAGTTTCCAACTTTTATTTGTTTTTCTTTCTAACAATAAATAAATAGGAAAGGTGTGCAATCCTTAGAAAATTTAAAGAGTATGATATCAATGTATTACTGTCAGTAATAAATGGATGGCGAGGACCGGTAAGTTATTTTTTATGCAGCATACCGCTAGTTTTTCCGACTTTGCTGAAGCTTCTCGTCTATAAGTTTGTTTCTGTACATGTTGATAACAAGTTTTACAAGTGTTTTTGTAATACAGCTTCATAAACATTGTCCATCATTCCATATGTTCCAATAATGTGATAAATAGATTTGACGTCGTTATTTTAACAATTTACTAAGTGAATTGTTTTATTCACAATATTGATTAGTTGGACAGTTCGTAACTTTCCATGGCTAACGCACATTTTTGACCTTGGGATTGTCTTTCTCATTCATCCCTGCAAATTTCTGAATACTTCCATACACATATACACTCATACGTATATTCATATTTATATAGGTATGAACACATACGTTTTTGTAGATACTTCCATAGTTTTCCTTCGCACGACTTGTCATTGATTCGTTTCTGTTTCTGTTATATCACATATCATATATATTAGTTTTATTTTGGATGTCGAGCAGTGTTCTGTTCATTGGCATTGAATAGAAACTTCTTAGAAACATCTAGGAAATAAAAAAATCATGTGTCACGTCTTAAATTGTATATTTACTGGCATCATTACCACGTTAAGTATGTTTCCAGAAGGTTCTAGAGTCCCGAGGCCATATATAAATCTGTAGGTTCTCTTGATTTTGCTATATTTGAAGCGATTACGAGTTCACCTAGTCTGCGAACGGAACAAAGACTTTGTGACCAAAGACCAATAAGCTAGCTATTCTAATGCTTCCCGGCCCATCTAACTAGAGAAAGAAGTCGAAGTTCGAACGGGGAAATATATTCCTTAAGCAACCAGAAGCACGACCGATAACAACAGACACGAATCAAACGTATATATACAGCATAAAACTGTCCTTGGGAAGCGTTACAAAATAGCATACTAAAAGATACAACGGACCAATAGCGTTTAAGATTCTCCCAAGTGGGAAATACAACATGAAAGTTAAAAGAGCGCTTTTGGCGCGAAAACAAAGAAATTCAATTTCTCAAAATAAAATTACAAAAATAAGGTATTTACCAAATGTATTCTGGGGATCTAACATCCCCAACAGATTTCCTGTACATAAACTAATCTTGCAGTAAATCTCACAGTTGTATTGTTAAAGTTGTTAGCCATCATAGAAAGCGGCTTAAAAGGGAGAAATAAGCGTTTCAGTGGTTGACTTGTCATGTCCAAATCAAAGTTTCTAAAAAACGCTTTTTATTTCGAGTTTATTTATTCGACATGACATTACGTGGTATCTTTTTACTCCCAAAGGATTCTAGGATTTCACTAATCAGTCACTGGCCCTCTCTGTTGATCAGATTCTTTAGACCAAGTTCGTTTTGTGGCTTTACACTAAGTGGCTAGATATCAGTACACGTTTTTGATTTCATGTTATTGAAGTCAGTCTACAGAATGTCTTAATAAATATAATCAAAATCTGTGGCTCATTTTTCTTATCAGTCCATGTCAATCAACTGTTTTTGTTCTCCATTATTTATCAAAAGCACTAGTCATCCCCTAAATGGTCACTTACATGTTGTGGAATTTAGAAGTACTTAATTTTGAACAGTTCGACCATTAGTTGTTATACTTTTCAATTTTTTCAATTTCTTGTTTTCCACAACATAAAAATGCAATTCTGGAATCGGTAACGTGTTCTATTTCACTTTCTTTTTAAGGTTGACATGAGTCGATATTTGTTTTATTTAGTTAAGGTTTAAACAGAAAACTTTCAAGAAATTAAACACATGATAAACAATTAACCGACTAACTTTTACTTATTGACGTTGGAATTATTTTGTAGAGGTTGACGTATTCTGTAAAGAGTTCTCATCTGAAAAAGGGTGACAAGAACACGTTTAGTTATGTGAATTTTGTAGTGCCTACAATTCGCAAAATCTTTTTACAAGTTTAGTTAATGATTTTGTGTAGTAGCTCCTTATTCTTGTTTATTTGTAGCAGTTTGATATTAACATTACTCTCTCTCTCTCTCTCTCTCTATATATATATATATATATATATATATATATATTACTTACGCCTGTTACTCCTCGTGAAGGAGTATAGGTCGCTCACCAGCATTCTCCATCCAACCCTGTCCTGGGCAATCCTTTCCAGCTCCTTCCAGTTCCTACTCATCCTATCCATGTCTGCTTCTATTATCCGACGTAGTGTGTTCTTAGGCCTTCTTCTTTTCCGCTTCCCGTCAGGATTCCAAGTTAAGGCTTGTCTCGTGACGCAGTTTGACGATTTGCGTAATATATGTCCTATCCATTTCCATCGTCTTTTCCTAATTTCTTCTTCAGCTGGAAGTTGGTTTGTTCTCTCCCACAGAAGGCTATTGCTGATGGTATCCGGCCAATGGATGTTGAGTATCTTGCGAAGACAGCTATTTATAAGTACTTGTACCTTCTTGATGGTGGTTGTTGTAGTTCTCTAAGTTTCAGCTCCATACAGTAGAACTGCCTTGACGTTCGTATTGAAGATTCTCACTTTGATGTTGTTTGAAAGTTGTTTTGAGTTCCATATGTTCTTCAATTGAAGGAATGCTGTCGTTGCTTTGTCAATCCTCGCCTTAACGTCTGCATCTGAACCTCCTTGTTCATCGATGATGCTTTCCAGGTATGTGAAGGATTTTACATCTTCCAGAGTTTCGCCATCAAGAGTGATTGGAATGCTGTTCTCCGCCTTGAATTTGAGGACCTTGGTTTTCCCTTTGTGTATTTTGAGGCCTATTGATGCAGAGACTGCTGCCACACTGGCTGTCTTTGTCTGCATCTGTTCGTGTGTATGCGGTAGGAGGGCTAGGTCATCTGCGAAGTCCAAATCGTCTAGTTGATTCTGAGCTGTCTATTGTATTCCGTGTTTTTCCTCAGATGTTGAGGTCTTCATAATCCAGTCGACCATCAGAAGAAAGAGGAAGGGAGAGAGTAGGCAGTCTTGTCTGACTCCGGTCCTTACTTGGTATGCATCTGTCAGCTGTCCTCCATGCACGACTTTGCATTGTAGTCTGTCGTATGAGTTCCGGATAATATTGACAATCTTTTCAGGAACTCTGTAGTGCCGAAGAAGTTTCCATAACTTTCTCCTATCTACACTGTCAAATGCCTTTTCATAATCAATGAAGTTGATGTATAGTGACGAGTTCCACTCAACTGATTGTTCGACGGTGATCCGTATTGTCTCAATTTGGTCTGTGCACAACCGATCCTTACGGAATCCAGCTTGTTGATCTCGAAGTTGGGCGTCTACTGCATCTTTCATCCGGTTCAGCAACACTCTGTTAAGGGCTTTCCCTGGTACTGACAACAGTGTAATGCCTCTGTAGTTTTCACATTTGCTCAGATCTCCATTCTTTGGAATCTTGACGAGGTGCCCTTCTTTGCAGTCCATCGGCACTTGTTCCTCCTCCCAAATCTTTTTGAATAGAAGATAAAGCATGCTTGTGGTTGCTTCGATGTCTGATTTCAGTGCTTCAGCTGGTATGTTGTCGGGTCCTGCTGCTTTCCCGTTCTTGATTTGTCTGACGGCCATTCTAATTTCTTCCTTCGTTGGTGGGTTGACGTCTATGGGAAGATCTGTGTGTGCCGCTTCGATGTCCGGTGGATTCATTGGAGCCGGCCTATTCAGGAGTTCCTCGAAGTATTCTACCCATCTGTTCCGCTGTTCTTGAATTTCAGTGATTGGCTTGCCTTCTTTGTCTTTGACCGGCCTCTTTGGTTTACTGTATTTCCCTGGTAGTTTCTTCGTTGTATTATAAAGCTGTTTCATATTTCCTTCTCTTGCAGCTTTTTCCGCGGTCGTTGCTAGTTCTTCCACGTATTCCTTCTTGTCGGCTTTAATGCTCTTCTTCACTTGCTTGTTTGCTTCTATGTATTCAGCTTGTGCTTGTACTCTCTCTGCTCGTGTTCAGCTGTTGTTAATTGCTGCCTTCTTGTTCTTCCTTTCTTTGATCTTGTCCAGAGTTTCTATAGAGATCCACTCCTTATGCTGGTGTTTCTTTAGGCCCAGAACCTCTTGACACGCTGAAGTTAATGCTTCTTTGATGCCTTTCCAGTTGTCTTACATAATAGTTTCTTCTTCCTTCAGTAGATCTTGTAAGGCTTGGAACCTGTTGTTGAGAGCTATCTTGAATTCATTGAGTTTGTCAGTATCTCAAAGGAAGGTAGTATTGAACCTTTGTATTGCTGTTTGTCCAGTTCATTTTTAGCTTCAGTTTTAAATTGGCTACAACTAGGTGGTGATCTGAAGCTATGTCAGCTCCTCTCCTAGTTTTCACATCTTCCATTGTCCTTCGGAATTTTTGTTGATGCAAATTTGATCTATCTGGTTCTCTGTAGTGTGATCCGGTGAGATCCATGTTGCCTTGTGTATACGCTTGTGTGGAAATATTGTGCCCCCTATGACCAATTTGTTGAATGCACATAGATTTGCAAATCTTTCTCCATTTCGTTTCTTTCCCCCCGTCAATATCGTCCATGATATCTTTATATCCGGTGTTGTCTATTCCGACTTTGGCATTTAGATCTCCCATCTGAATAGTTAGGTCCTTTCTTGGGCATTTCTCTATGATTGATTGCAGCCTCCCATAGAACTGGTCATTATTGTCGTCGTTGCTATCATTGGTGGGTGCATAACATTGGATAATATTCATTGTGATCCCCTCCTTCTTTGTTTTGAATGATGCTTTGATGATTCTGGATCCTTGATATTCCCATCCTACAAGTGCATTTCGTGCTACTTTGGACAGCATTAGAGCGACTCCCTGAGTGTGTGGAGCATTTTCCTTTTCGTGACCGGAGTATAGCAGCATCTCTCCCGTAGCTAGCCTTTTCTGTCCAGCTTGGGTCCAATGTGTTTCGCTGATTCCCAGTATTGCCAAGTTGTATCTCCTCATTTCCATTGATATTTGACTGGTCTTCCCGGTTTCCCACATTGTTCGAACGTTCCATGTACCTGTAAAAATTTTTGCTCTAGTTGTTAGAAGGGGCATCGGCCTCGTGGCTTCCGAAGGAACTCGGCTTTCACCATGAAGCGTCATAATTCTTCTAAATGAAGACCTTCTAACTCCCAGGGCAGAGTTAAAATGGTTTGGATTATTTTTTCTGGTAAGCGTTTTTTAGCGAGTTAGTTTTCTACGGGATGGGGACGTTAAACCCATGCCCAACCCTCCTCCTTTACCCGGGCTTGGGACCGGCAGCAACCCTATAAGAGCTACAGGCGGAGTTATATATATATATATATATATACGTTATAACGCTCGGACTTTGTTCGTCTTTACAAATGGGACTTTAATTTGACTCAGATGAATATCTACACTAGATAACCTCCCAGAGTCTATTCTACAGGACTTCAACACAACTCAGATCAAGAACACGTGATTAGCTTGACTAGAACGTAACTATATTGCCACACCAAAAACCGACAACAATCCGACAAAATCCAACAACAATCACAATAATAATAAGGATAGGAGAATATATAACTCATCTAATTCCTGTCAGACTGTCTACAAGTCTGACTAAGCAATTAACCAAATACTGTCATCTTAAGATGGTGGAGATTTGCAGCTCATGTGGATGATTTTGATGGAGTTTTGTTCTTCAAGCTGGATGGTTTGGTCGTGGAGATCAAAAAGAAAATCCTCTTCGCTGAAACGTCTTCACTCTTTTTAAAAGTTAAGTTTAACAAGGGACGGAATGATATACAAGAAACAGGAATTTTTAATGCTTAAGTTGGCAGTAAACATTCACTCATTGAATTTCTTGATAAAAACAAAGGATCATATTCCAAAATGATTTAATAACTTTTACAATAGTGTTTGTTGACCAACCACATATAGTATTGTTTATGTCTTTCCACAACAATGCTGGCCGAATTGGCTTCTTGCACAATCGATTTGAAGCTAAAACCCCTTCGGCAACTGGTAATCCTGATGGATACTGTTTCCGTTCTTCTTAGTATGAGGCAGTGCAAATATAAATTATCATTATTGTGTTTATCATTTATCTCTGAAGACAAGTTAATTAGTTTGGAGTGATCGATTTCTATTAATATTCTTGTATACCAAATACAGCGATTTCAACTGTAATTGTATTTTCAATTTAGTCAAAGGAGAGCTTCATAGTTTTCGAATAAAATACTCATTTAAATAATTTACTCGTTTCTATCTAAATAGCCAGTAAAATGTTTAGTAGGTGGTTATTTTCACTGTGGTTGATATTACTGATCCCTATTGATTAAAATCAAGTGGTATGATTATATAAATATTTAAGAATCAATGCTCAGTTAACTTGTGTTCCAAAAATGTATGCTTTCAAAATTTGGATCACACCTTTTGTTTGCTATAGGAATTCATTAATTGGCTGTAAATACTGCATTGCTGTAACCTGATTAGTTGAAATCCATAAACTGTTTTGTTTGGATGTCAAAATTAACATCTTTAGACGAAACAATCAGATTTGGGACAAGAGGTTTTGGATTTTGGCACGAAATTCTTTCACCCATTTGTCTAAATAGCGTTTCAGCATTTTAGCTGGTGTCAGTTCGTGATGAAAACCCTAAGTATAGTCCTCAACAATGACTCAACAGTAAATCATAATCCTAATTCTTCATGCTGGTTTATAACCCTCGTTTAGCCCTAGTAAAGTAGGCGGACATTATCAGGGTCACTCAACAGTCGTCCATAAATTATATATTATTTATTAAGGATAAAAATTTTGTTAACATCAGACGGAAGAATAGGTGAATATTTTCTGAACTCAGCTTCTATGATTTTAGTTACAGTTGAGCATAAATTGATCTATACCTTTTTTACGATATTTTGAATTAGATGTACTTGACATTAAAGGTAATGCAATTTCGGACATACTTCTGTTATTTCAACAGCTTTCACCCATCAAACGTAGAAGACAATCTCAGGCAGTTCTTGATTATTAGTTGAACGCTTAAAGAATAACAGAAGTCAAGTGAGTATTGTCGAGGATTCACGACAAGTGAAGACGACTGAGATCACTATGACCATTTTCAAAATACGAAGACTGGCCTCCTGAACAAACAAGATAATAAAACACACCAGCTTACGTCCGTCAAATAATATTTCTAGGTCTCCTTGCTGCTCTTTGACCATTTCTTCAACAAATTTAATAAACGGTTTCCTGAGTCTTAAGAATTTAAGAATTATGAGCCACAATATATATATATATATATATATATATATATATATATATAATTTACATTTCATTCAAAATCTTGGATAAATGCAAAGTTCAGGGGATCACGTTCTTACGCCAGTAATAATTATTTTGATAAAGGCACTAGAGATTGGAATATCCATAAGTTCGGAGTCTGAGGTGATTACTCTGTATAAAAACATATAGTCTTAGTTGAGTATTCAAGTTCTGTACAAAATATTGTTGTACATATTGAAAACGCCTTTGAATGTTGAATCCTTTTCGAAATTATGTATAAATAAAGTAGACAACATTTTCATTTAGCATAGTAGAGGTAATCAATATTTGCTGATGCATGCTGTTCTTGTGTTCTCGACGCCGTTATGGTGCCGCAAGTACTTCATGACTATATTAATTGATATAATGAAAACTATGATTTTGTTTTGCGACTTTTCAATAGATTATGCTAAAACCTAAATAAGAGCTGATTGAACCTGGAGAGTAAATTACAGGAGATGAAATATTTGTTATTTATAATTTCTAAATCTTTCCTCCCATATATAGTATTTCTATTAATTGTTAATACTGCCGATTTTCTTGTTTTGTACTACAATTAGCCTATACAACAACTTGGTGACCCAATTCTCACTCTACGTGTTCTCCTAGTTAACATACAAGTAAACCAATCAATGATAACTCTACCGGATTTCATCCATATAAATGATATATTAACAAGAAAAACACAATTATCATTATTGGTTATATTTCCTACCTGTGTGCTCCTGTTGGCTAGAACAAACCAAACTAATGTTTACGATTATACTGTAAGTGAAATTCACCTCTGTGTCTTTTTTAAATTTTATTGCTTCATTTTATAAAACTTAGAATTACCAATAATTTATTAATTCAATATATAAATAGATCAATATTTATTCAGGAAATACTCATAGGTCTACGGCTAAGCAATAGCTAAATCATAAATAACAAATACTAATACTACTACTACTACTACTACTGCTGTGGTGAATGCTACTCATAAGATTACTTATTGGTCGCATGGAAGTTGATACAGTCAAAGTGAAGAGTTCCAAGGGGTCACAAACCATGGAGTAAGCAGAATACTTTCGAGACCAGGCTAGAACGAAATTGAATCAGAGAATATCTAACCGAACGCAATTTTATTATTTTAACACACAGATATTGGTACAAGGCACCAAATACATATGCACCATACAAGTCTCATTTGATATTTGTGAGGGCTGTGATACTGCCCGGTTGTCCAAACCGAAGTAGGTGGTTTTCTTAGAAGGCCACACTAGGAGCCTTCGACCTGAAGGTCTGATCCACAAGGTAGTGGAGCATCGTAAGGAGATGCAGTCCCATAGTAGTCGGTGACCAACAATTGGTTCATACGCCATTTGTTCCTTTAGGATCGTGGAGCCCATGTGCACCATTGGTTTGGAGTCATGGTTTTCCAATCCCCCTATGTGAACTCTAAATGTCCACCAACCCGGTTAAAGCGCCGGATATTCGCTCTTCGTCCTCTCATTTTCGTAGACAACACCCCGTCACGAGAAGGTAGTGAGTAGGACGTCCCTGGCAGAGGCTATATACGCGTGGCCATGTGAGAGCATTTCGAGAGGGAGAGTGAACTCTCCCCACTCCTTGGCCTGCGCAAATGGATCACTGAATAATAGGTGTATATGTTCTGTAAGCCTTTTGTAATTTCACTAAACAAACATATTCTTTCCCTAGTGTCTTTTTCTCTAGTAATACTATTACTGATGGAATTCCAGAAAATAGCTTGGATATTTTTACTTCCAAAAATTTACTTTGACGAATGGACACTTGGTAGCTTAAAATTCTAATGAAATACATTATCTGAAATTATCTACGTTGTACATGTAAAGGTAATAATTAAATCAAATGAGAACCCGAAATTTCATGACATACTAATAAACCGACGTATATATCTGTCTACGTGGTCAATGAATTCAACGACGAGGTTGAATTTATAATTTCCATTTTTATATTCATTTATTGTAGTAAAATCAGTATCCTTTTTTTCCGTATTTCAAATCTATCTGATTATTGGCAAAGATGGGTAGTGGCTAGCAGTGGGATGGAAGACGCGCGTTTCGTCCTATTTGGGACTCATCAGCTGGATGTACCTGCATCTCAAAGTTGATGTTCACTCTGGAACTCGAACCCAGTGCTATTCGTTTCGAACGCCATCGCGTTATCCACTTAGCTACTGAGTCCCGATTTTCACTTAATTTGAATGTAAATTGTAGTGGCCCGTGAATCTGACTCCTATTTATATCGTATGGATGTTTCTATCACCTATTCTCGTATATAATCGTCGACTTAAATCACGTTATCCAATAACGGAATTAAATAAGTCGAATAACGAGAATTGACTTGAGAATACATATATTTCGTACATGGAACGAATGAAGCACAGCAAAGCAAAAATCACACGTATGGAAGATGGCTGGGAAGCCAACTCCATTTTAGTCAAGTGTTACTCCATATTTATAGTCAGATAAAATAAGCTACAGACATACAATGAATCATGGGACATGAAGTGTACACTCATATACGCTCATATAAAAAACAGTCAAGACTGACAAGCGAATAATTGACAAGGTCAAAATATGGCTCAAGTAAAATGAATAAAATAGGATGTCCGGAAGTTAGAATAAGGTATATGGGCTTGCCATAATAACTGACACTACAAAATACACTAGGTTTTGTTTGCTTGACTCTTCTCATTGAAGTTTAAGACTGCAATTGATCAGTCTCTTATTGGCATATGTACATCCTGTGCGTATTGCCTTAATCCACAAGCTTTATAAGCAAAGGTGGATAGTGGCTAGCAGTGGGATGGAAGACGCGTGTTTCCTCCTATTTGGGACTCATAATAAACTGAAATAATTTAGAGAACTCTTAAAAATCGAGGAGGATTCAGTAGCTGTTTTATTCTACCCTGAACTTTGAGTTTCTCTACGAGCGATACATCCTTTACTGACTCGCTACTATGGAGTACGTAATATGCAATTAAGACTATCGATTAAGTTGTTAAAATTCCCGACCAAGCTGCTACCTTGACGCGGTGGTCGGGCTTGCTTATCGTGATGACCCAACCGAGCTATAATGGCTGGAACATATGTTCCTGTAGGTTCTATCATGCCAGGCAGGTCGATTGGTGAACGGTAAGACTAAAAGCAGCAACTCAAGGTCTGAGGGCGAAGTCGTACTGCTGACTGTAGAGGGGTGTGACAGCAGTAAAGTGTTTTCCTCGGACAACCAGCATGACAGCGATGCTGCCTTCCCACAAGGAGGGGTGGGGTTATAAAAGGTCGGCCCTAAAATTGCCACACCTCACCTTACCTCACGGATTTCCGTCTCCGGCGGTAAGGCCCTTTGAAGAACGGAGCTAACATGTCAAAAACCGTCCACAGAAAGGCCGTGCGCGACCGGCCTCAAGCAGTTGTTCCTTGGGCTCTGCGGTCACGCTACCAGGTCGTTAAGACCAACACTAATCCAATTACCTTTTCAGGTTCCTCAAGAAATACCCTTCCACGGTGTGGGCAGCCGGGAAGTGACATCAGCCCTCATACCCGTAACAGCACACGAGACCAAGTTGGTCACATTCAAATTCTTCCTACACCTAATACCTCTCTTATCTCCATGACTAACCCTCCTCACGTCTCTTTATCACCTCGCACCGCTAGAGCAAATGATTCGAGTACGCGGAACGCTATTCATGGTCTCCTGAAACCACGCTCTAAACTACATGTAGGAGCTTTTAACGTACGAACACTTTGCCAAATAGGACAGCAGGCTTCCTTAGCTAGGACTTTAGAATCTCGCACCATCGATGTGTGCTGCGTCTCCGAAACGCGCATACAAGATCCGAGTAGCGTCATTCATTTAACCTCACCATGCCAAAATAAAGAACCGACTCGATTTACGCTTCGTGTATCTGGAAGCCCTGATTCTGAATCCCGTGGCCTCGTCGGTGTAGGTATAGCATTGAGTCCTAGGGCAGAACTAGCTCTCTTAGAGTGGATCCCAGTAGACAGCCGTTTGTGCGCTGTCCGACTGAACGGAACAGTAAGAATCTGGAAAGATAGGGACATTCATCGTTGCCTCTTCGTCGTCTCTGCCTATTCTCCCACTGACTGCAGCTCAGATGATGTAAAAGATGAGTTTTACAGAAAGCTTTCGGACCTTCTCCGAAAAGCTAGGCGCTCTGATGTAGTAATAGTGGCCGGTGACTTTAATGCTCAAGTAGGTAAACTGAGCGATAAGGAAAGACACCTAGGTGGATCTTATGGTGTCGTGGCTCAAAGAGCAGATAATGGCGGCCGTCTGTTGCAGCTATGCTCAGATAACCGCCTGTTCCTTGCAAATACTAATTTTAAGCTTAAGGGAAAACATCTTTTAACATGGCGACCTCCTAATTCGTCCCAACGTTGGACCCAAATAGATCACATCGCTATCAGCCACCGATGGAGGGGCTCGATAGAAGACTGTCGCTCATTCTGGAGCACATGCTTAGATTCAGATCATGCTCTAGTACGAGCGCGTATTCGCTTGCGTCTTACTGGACGTAGGAAAGACGCTGCAAGGAAACCTCTTAGGGGCCTACTTAATGATAGTCAAGCTAAGAGTATATTTGGGGAAGAACTAGGAAAACAGTTAGGCAATCATGTATGTGATGTCCACTCCGATGCAGCATGGAATGATATCCGAAAAGCTGTGGAAACAGCAGTGATATCTGCTAGTAAGGTAAACCAGAAGGTTAGGGAGCAACACTGGATCTCAGCAGCATCTATCGCACTGATAGATGCTCGGAAACTCATTCCACCTGGCTCTGAACATAATGAAGAGCGGAGTCAGCTTAAGCGCAAGCTGACAAGAAGTCTACGCAATGATCGCGAACAGTGATGGATAGCGAAAGCAAGAGAGATGGAAAAGGCAGCGGCAATAGGTAATAGCAGACAATTGTTCAGACTCGTTAAGGAAACCGGAATTAGGAACCCGACCATTAGCGAAACAATCTCAGAGAAAGATGGACATATTATTCATTCTCAATCCAGGAGATTGGATCGATGGGCAGAACACTTTAGGGATCAGTTCAACTGGCCTTCTGCCACACTTCGGTTTCCCACGATCTCCAGTCAATCTGAAACGAGGGAGAGCAGCAGGCCCTGACAGGTTTACTCCTGAGATTTTTAAGGATAGTGGTTCAGTATTAGCAGTGGGATTAACTGAGGTCTTAGGTAGAATTTGGGAACTGGACGTAATCCCATCCGATTGGTCTCAATCACTGATTGTGCCAGTCTACAAGAAAGGACAAAAGTCCTCTTGTGACAATCACAGAGGAATCAGTTTGACAAATATAGTATCTAAAATATTAGCCTTAATAATACTTCGACGCCTAATCAAAGCTCGTGAAGAGCAGATTAGAGAAAACCAGGCCGGTTTTCGACCTGGACGTGGTTGTATAGATCAGATATTCACACTACGTCAGGTTCTAGAACATAGACACACATTCAGACGCCCCACAATGGTAGTATTTCTCGACCTTAAGGCGGCATTGGACACTGTTGATCGTGAGGTTCTATGTCAGTGTTTGTCACTGAAAGGAGCACCAAAGAAGTACATTAACCTTATAAAGGCTCTCTACTCGAACAAAACTGGTAGAGTGACAACTTATGGCGAACTGTCATCAGAATTGATTACCTCAAGTGGTGTTCGTCAGGGCTGTCGACTCTCCCCATTCTTGTTCAACTTTGTCATTGACGTACTTTTAGAGATAACACTTTCCTCATCTAAATTTCCAAGGGTTGAACTTCTACCGGGAGGTTCACTTGTTGACTTGGAATATGCTGATGACATAGTTTTATTTGGTGAAGACGCTGACAAAACGCAGAGTCTTCTGACAACTCTAGGCAACAATGCAAGCATGTTCGGGATGCGATTCTCTCCCTCGAAATGCAAAATGTTGCTTCAGGATTGGGTTACATCGACACCCGAACTAATGATAGGGAGTGAAGTAGTTGAGTGTGTCGACCGCTTCACTTATCTTGGAAGTCTCATCAGCCCTTGTGGTCTGGTATGTGACGAAATCTCAGCACGGATACAGAAGGCTCGACTAGCTTTTGCCAACTTGCGTCATTTATGGCGTAGGCAAGATATCCGTCTATCAACTAAAGGACTGGTTTACTGCGCAGCAGTTCGTCCCGTCCTACTTTATGGCAGTGAAACGTGGCCGGTAAGAGTAGAGGATATTCGTAGGTTACTAGTATTCGATCATAGGCCTCTTCGAAATATTGCTCGTATATCGTGGGACCACCGAGTAAGTAATGCAGTTGTTAGGAAACAGGTACTAGGTGAGGATGGCAAATCAATTGATGAAGTAGTAAAACTGCATCAGTTGAGATGGCTGGGACACGTGTTACGTATGCCCAACGACCGACTACCTCGACGTGCTATGTTCAGTGGTATAGGAGTAGGTTGAAAGAAAGCTAGGGGCGGCCAGACCAAAACATGGCACAAGTCCATGAAGTCACTGACAAGTGGACTGAATCATGTTGGTAGGTGTAGACTACCTGGTTGGGGACCACGAGATGATAGCAACCGATGGTTAGAGATCCTGAATGACATTGCTCGGAATCGTTTGGAATGGCGCAGGTGCATACACTCTTTGTGTTCTCCCAAATTTTAATCTTCTGAATTCTTCATGTCCCTTTTTTCCACTTTCCAAATTTATTTCACTGGATTATACTCTTTAAATAACATCTCCAAACCCTAATCTTCCCGATTACTGCTTATACTCTTATTACCTCTACCACTACGGGATTTGAATCGACAATTGTATCTGTGTGGTAATGTGGTGTGGCAACTTGAACTGATGTACATACGAAGTTCTGCGTTGTTTACTGAGTGACTGACTGAAGTTGTTAAGATTGGTACGACTGTTTTAATATGTAGTAGTTAATGGCAGCCGTGAATACGATGATAGTCATAATGTAGTAACTAAAATACCACTAAAATTAACGCAATTTCAAGCAAGACGTCTCCTCTATAAAACACGAATACCTATATTTGAAACCGATGCTTTTGTTGGTTATTAGACGTTAATCCTAATGTTACTGCTAATAACACATATTCACATTTTCGTGGGTATTATGGTTAATTTTGGTTCACAAGGTTAAAGCTTGATCCACTTAATTTGATGTTGGTAGCCAAATAGAAGAATCAGTATACTGCAGTACTTTTTATGAGGTTCAGTTACACAATTGTTTTTCGACCCCCTTCTCCCACAGTTTCAGTAAAGTCTGAATTATTTAGGCTGTTGATGCTTTGCACTGAATTATATATAAGTTGTTATAGCATAGCCATACTTGGCTATATGTACTGTGATAAGGTATGAGTGGATATCTAGTGTTCAAACCATGTCATTTGGTACTGATGGGCCACTTATGGAAGTTGGGAAACCCTGATTCCATACAGGTGATCAGCGAAATGCACTTTTCTTACCAATCTTTTTGCGCGGAGTAACAATGTTCAATTACTCTTCATTCTTACAGTTTAACAGTGGGTTTGAAAATGATTTTCTAATCATACTATTCTTCCTTTATCTTACCGTGTGCAACATTTTTGAGGCAACATAAATACGTGTTTGTGGTAAATATCTGTTAATTATTGAAAGACTTGTCAGCCTTGAATAAGTGGATTACTGTATTGTGTTATTCGACATAAAAGTTCTCTTTTCGGCGAATTCATTTCCAAACTGTACATTCGCAAATATATACTTATTTTTGAAAATGATAATAATTACAATAATAGTGATAATGAAATTCTGTTAAACATGGTAACAGTGAGGTGGGATAAAGAAGCATTAAAGATTATTTTCATCAGGGAAACTAATAATAACTTTGTTGTTTAGGACTTGTATATTCATCATGAATATAGGGAAATTATAACTGGGAATGAGAGACTCAGTATGATAAGATGAAATGTCAAAATTGGGAGGAACTGCAATCAGGCGGATCATAGAAACAGAAAAATATCGTTTGGGGATAAAAATTCTATGGAGAATATGGAAGGGAAGCAGATGGCTATGAATGAAGAAAAGCATAAAGAAGAATGAAAATTCCAAGATATTGAGATCATGGTAGAAGAAGAGGTTATACCAGTTTGTTTTGGACACAATTTTGGTTCTTGTAGATGTATAGCTATTGGTTCGTCAACGTTAAGAAAATGGAATATAAGTGGCTTTGATAACCTTCTATTTACCTTGTAGATGAATTTGAATTCAGTCCACTCTGATTGAGTGATCTGCGTTCGATTATTGAGCTTCTTATTGAGCCATTTCCGCCTCTTTTGAGCCAGGTCGGATAATGTTCTCGAATTCTTTTGAGTAAAATACGCATCGATTGATTGTTTTTGTTTTTCGGAGCGATAAAAGTAGTTGCCAAAGACATAGAGTTCATCGTTTGTGTGTGGGCTGTGATACTGCCCGGGTGCCCAAACCGAAGCAGGTGGTTTTCTTAGGGAGCCACTCCCCGAGCCTTTGACCTAAAGGTCTAACCCACAAGGCAGTGGAGCATCGTAAGGAGATGCAATCCCATGGTAGCCGGTGACCAAGGATTGGTTCATACGCCATTTGTTCCCGCAGGATACTGGAGCCCATGTGCACCATTGGTTTGGAATCCGGTTAAAGCGCCGGACATTCGCTTTTCGTCCTCTCATTTTTGTAAACAACACCCCCGCCACGAGAAGGCAATGAGTAGGACTTCCCTGGCAGAGGCTGTATACGCGTGGCCGTGTGAGAGTATTTCGAGAGGGAGAGCGGACTCACCCCACTCTCGGCCGTACCAGGGCATTCGGGGGCAAGAAGTATTACCAATATTCATGTGTCCAAATAAATAAATAAATAAAAATACGCATCGATCGGCCTGTAGTGTCTGATGCTATGTCAAGCTTATATGGATTATTCTAGCTTCCGAATAGACCAATTTATTCATTCTTCTTGAGTCACGTTTTGACCTCGTTAATTATTCTCTTATTAATCATTTCTGTTTCTACATGAGCATCTGTGTGTATTTCTTACGCCATTCATGGCATGTTTGTAGCTTATTTTTATCTGACTATAAATTTTGAGTCATGTTTCATCAAGTCGAGTTGGCTCATTCGCCTTCGCTTCACTTTATTGCTTTTTAATCTGAATAGTCGTCCGGATAAACGAGTGTACAAAATTTACGTATTCAAAATTATCGGAAGGATTTTTGTGGAGATTTTAGTAAATTTATAATTGAATTCATAAGTTAAATGAAGCTAGACCACCATGAAAAACATTGATTACTCCTTTTCCTTATTGATAAAATGAGTACTTTTGGGTTATCGTTTCATTCGTTTAGTCCTGTTTTTTTGTAATGCTCATTAGAATTTTTATTGAGCAGTACATTTCATACAAATTTTGTTGATGATTTGTTGAAAACAGGTCAAAATACCATTGAACAATTTGGCTGTGATTAGATCAACCGAAAGTGAAACAGATTTAGATTTATTGATTAAAGGTAAATAGATAATTTACTGTGTAAATATTCTCACTGTATATTTCGTAACTAAAATTATATTATTAAACCAGTCCAGTAATTAAATAAATGTATCCGGCAATGAATCACACTTTCTTTTGTAAGCTGAGCTTACTAGTCTAACTACCAAAACACTGCTCTTGTTTAACTTTGTTGTTGACGTGCTTTTAGAGATAACACTTTCCTCATCTAAATTTCCAAGGGTTGAACTTCTACCGGGAGGTTCACTTGTTGACTTGGAATATGCTGATGACATAGTTTTATTTGGTGAAGACGCTGACAAAACGCAGAGTCTTCTGACAACTCTAGGCAACAATGCAAGCATGTTCGGGATGCGATTCTCTCCCTCGAAATGCAAAATGTTGCTTCAGGATTGGGTTACATCGACACCCGAACTAATGATAGGGAGTGAAGTAGTTGAGTGTGTCGACCGCTTCACTTATCTTGGAAGTCTCATCAGCCCTTGTGGTCTGGTATGTGACGAAATCTCAGCACGGATACAGAAGGCTCGACTAGCTTTTGCCAACTTGCGTCATTTATGGCGTAGGCAAGATATCCGTCTATCAACTAAAGGACTGGTTTACTGCGCAGCAGTTCGTCCCGTCCTACTTTATGGCAGTGAAACGTGGCCGGTAAGAGTAGAGGATATTCGTAGGTTACTAGTATTCGATCATAGGCCTCTTCGAAATATTGCTCGTACATCGTGGGACCACCGAGTAAGTAATGCAGTTGTTAGGAAACAGGTACTAGGTGGGGATGGCAAATCAATTGATGAAGTAGTAAAACTGCATCAGTTGAGATGGCTGGGACACGTGTTACGTATGCCCAACGACCGACTACCTCGACGTGCTATGTTCAGTGGTATAGGAGTAGGTTGAAAGAAAGCTAGGGGCGGCCAGACCAAAACATGGCACAAGTCCATGAAGTCACTGACAAGTGGACTGAATCATGTTGGTAGGTGTAGACTACCTGGTTGGGGACCACGAGATGATAGCAACCGATGGTTAGAGATCCTGAATGACATTGCTCGGAATCGTTTGGAATGGCGCAGGTGCATACACTCTTTGTGTTCTCCCAAATTTTAATCTTCTGAATTCTTCATGTCCCTTTTTTCCACTTTCCAAATTTATTTCACTGGATTATACTCTTTAAATAACATCTCCAAACCCTAATCTTCCCGATTACTGCTTATACTCTTATTACCTCTACCACTACGGGATTTGAATCGACAATTGTATCTGTGTGGTAATGTGGTGTGGCAACTTGAACTGATGTACGTACATACGAAGTTCTGCGTTGTTTACTGACTTACTGACTGCTCTTGTAAGGAGTCATATTTCGAAAGAATAAATTCAATAGAGACAAGTGGCTTCCATCCTTATGATTTGTAGTAATAGTTCTCGTAATTTCCTTAATCTTTAAAACGTTAGTTTGTTAGTCAACTCCATGTCGAAATACTGTCAAGTGTACGGTGTGATTGCATGAAGGCGTTTGCTTCAGATGACCAGCATTAGCAGCAATACCACTTTCTCTCAGAAGTGTGGGTTAGAAAAGTTTAACTTTTTGAAGTAATACGCCTTGACTTGGCCCAGAAATTTCTGTCACCGGCTGTAAGGCTTTGTTACATGGGCTTTAAAATTACTCACTAAAATGTCGTATGTGACCGACCTCGAGCTGTTGGTTCCTAGCCGTCTCGGTTATGACAATGCCAATACTGGTCCAGTTCCATTTCCACGTCTGTCAGGAAGAATTATCCTTCTACGGTGTGGGCAATAGAAAAGTGACAACCGTCTCGTCTCATGGTGTTACCGGTGTCCAACGACAGGGTCGGTACTCTCTGGCTGGATTCCTTTTCACTGTCGTTTACATGCTGTCCCTTTAGATGGTTAAATAAGAACTCAGAAAGACGCGGATACACACTGTTGCATCTTCATCGTTTCTACTAACACCCTCCAATGTCTGCACCAAGGCTGAGTTCTATAGAAAGCTTTCCGATCCTTCAGAATCCCAGGGGCTCAGAAACGTGGTTATGGTAGCAGGTAATTTAAATACCTAAGTCTGTTTGCTAATTCAAGTTGAGTTTTTTGACGTCCTAAACCAGTGAACACATGACGGTGATCGTCTATTGCGACTATGCCGATACGACCACTTAATCTTTGCAGAGCACCAACTTTAGTCATATGGAGAGACATTGTCTATGTAGTGTGTATGCATCTTGAGGTAGCGAATCATAGTATGTGGTCTGCTGTATATACATGTCAGACGTTTGTTAGAAACCGGAAACTAGTGGTGCAGTTGGATATAATCTCATGTGATTATTCATCAATTCAGAGCTTATGACGAACTGTCGTTAAATTTGGTAACGTTACGAGGTGTTCGCTATGATTGGCCACTCCCTATAGTTTCATTTAACTTTGCCATGAACATTCATTTGGTCAAATCTCTTTTCTTTCCTGGCTTTTCAAGGATTGACCTCTTATCAGGAAAATCACTTACTGACTTGAAATATGGAGATGATGTAGTTCTGTTAGGTAAAAACCCTAATACGTCCAAAGTCTTCCGAACACAATTCAAGGATGTTTGGTATACATTTCTCTTTCTCTAGATACAAAATACTGTCTCACGACTAGCCTGCATAACCCCCTAAATTGGTTATGGAGAGTGAATTATTTGAGTGCGTGGACACCGTTGGTTATTGTTAGCGGGACATAGACTAGATTAAAGCATGCTCAATGCATGATTGCTTTGCTGCACACTGATTGTCTAATTCTTATCCAATCAGCACTAGTCGATAGTTGGAGAATATTCTGGAATCTTCTTATGTAAAAACTATAAATATACTGACGTTTTTCCCTATTGTGCTTCTGACTTGCTCCTTACTTCCATCTAACCTTGTTATTTAGAATATAATCTCTTCCTGTTCAACCGTGTTTTGATTTGGGGACTTGTCGAGTGAATCGGTGTCCGAGAATACTAAGCAATAGGAATAGCTGGGTCATAACCGTAAGAAAAGAGAGAGTTATAACAGTTATCCTGGAAACCCTATTACGTTGATATAGACAAGGTTCTCGTGTCAGCGAAGAGGCGTGTTTAATGCACATAAACTATTTTGTACCGCTGCCAAACCAGGATGTGACACTAGTCCTTAACTATTGGACTGAGGCGTGTTAGTAGGCACAGAATACCTGCCTGAAGTCCACATGATAATCGTAATCAGTGTTTGGAAACGTCGGATAACATGGATCGGAGTCAGTGACGACGGTGTAGGTGCATTTACGCTTTACATATCCGTAACTGCAGAGCTCCAAAATTAGTTCGTACTTTTTATTCCCCGAATTTATCCCTTCTTTTCGAAATTTACTCATCAATATTTAGTTTTTCCCACTACCGTTGATATTATTATTTTCATTTCATTTTTTTTCGTTTTATCAGTTGCATACTAAGTATTACTACATTGGTTTAATTAACCGTTAGGATATTCGTGTACAGAGCTTCTGATTGAAAGTTTACAAAAATATCTTTCTTCTTACAGTAAATTTCTCATGCATGTACTCTCTCCATATTTCCCCTGGTTTGTTTGTCTCTCATTTAGATCTTAATTCCATGAATATGGATGTTATTCCTTGTCAAATAACACTTGCATGTACAGATCAAAATGCTAGAGATCTTTTGGTATCTACATTAACTGACCTAATACAATATCAGACCCAGAATGAACAACAGTCACCAGATATTGATCAATGTCATACAAAAAATGAGAGTATTTCTTTGGACTTCTTCAGTCAACCTGATTCGAATAGTTTGGACAGACATGGAAATACATCTCTAAGTTCTTTACCTTTACGAAAGGACACACTAGATGTAAAAATTTTACTATTATCATTTTTTTGTTGTTGAGATCTTTAAGAAATTGGTTGAACGGGTGATAATGAAAGAATTTTCCGAAAAACCGTAGATTGTTTCAACTTTTAAAAGGCGGTGGGTTAACAGTAGTGATAGTGTCACTAGGACACCCACAAATTGTGTGCTTCGAAACTGACCCCACTAATTTGTAATTGGTAATTGGGTAATTCCTCAGCGAAGTCTCCACCATATATCGTTACTTGACCAACTTTGCATTATTCGATTCTTGAATCAATTACATTTAAAGTGGACTATTTCGATCATAAATAACCATCTATTAGAGTAGATTCTTATCCGAGTAATACTGTGCAAAAATGCGAAATCTGTGATTCAATAGTTTTCCAAGTTGGTTTTCAATGATTAGTCTGTAGGTCCAATCACTGTTTTATTCACCGTACAAAATGTTAAAAGTTATTCCCTTTATATTAAGATCAACTTATAAATTTTGCGATACAGAAAATTTGTTAAGTTTATCCACAGCGTTCTCATTGTTCAATAAACTTGTTGTATCCATTGCCTCCGACTATTTATCTTCTCTTTTATTGCATTAGTACTGCATATTATAGTGAAAATGTTTTAGCGATTTCATTTAAAGCCTTACATTTCGCTATATTTGTTTTTTGTCTGGCAAGTTGAGCTGTACTGCACTGACATTTTCATAGTAGACGGACGAGTGCAACTCCAACTGTTCCGAATGTAATCTCTAGCGAAAATACACCGATATTCAGCAATCACTCACCTAGTAGACGGGAGAATGGTTAGAGTGCCAGATTCAGCTTTGTGTATAACTGTGTATACAGTAAATCCTATCGTTGAACGGAAGCTCAAAGTGAAATAAATAAGGTTTTAATTAGGTTGTATATTTTTGCAATTCGTTTACTAGCCTTAAAGATCTCTATGTAGGTGGCAGATGACTTGATTTTATTTAACTTTGATATTTGAACTTTCTAAAGATAGAGCAGATTTCATCCGAATAACAGGAATTGTCAAAGTCTCTGATATCCAGAAATATGCGGTACTCAAGAACGACAAATATGACAAAAAGAGTTAGATTAACAACGTGTCTACCGGATAATCACAGTAACCATGGTTCTAATACATCAGTAGTTATGTCCTAATGTTTGAAGATGAGAATTTTTTCTGTTAGTTCAGAGTTATTATCCCAGTATATTTTTCCTAAAATTGAAGTTGTTTCTCATTGTATTTTTTCATAAATGGATGATTTTAGTGAAGTCTTATCTTCTGTGCTGGATGATCAACGCTATCAGCACCGACTTCAGTTAAAAGTAGTTTACTTGAATTTCTCCATATATGACTGACAGCTTGTCCTATCGATCTCAAACTTGATTGGTTATTGTTGGTGTTTCTCTGTCATTTTCCACCTGAAGTTTATGTTAATAGTGTTTTTCAGTAAAATATTGAAAGCTTCACTATTAAATCAACCAGGGCAAAGAATGGGACTTCAGTGAAAGTTATTTAGTCTTATTTTTATGTTAACTTTGGGTAGTGAATCAGATCTCTTTAGTATTTCCTATCCTTCTAACGAATGTTTTACCTGCTTTCTAGAATGAAAAATTAAAATCATCAAAAATAACAAGAGATGAAAATAATCAGATTGATCCGCATCAATCAACACTGGTGATGTCGACATTGTCAATGAAAGATCCTCAAAGTTTCAAGTTTCCTCCTGACTCCACTGACAATTTGGCTGCTCAACACACTTACACAAAAGATATTTCTAAAATATCGTTTGTCAATAATGATAATGTTGTAAAAATCACAGATATTTATAATTTCATCAGCAATTCGACTAACAATAATGATGATAATAAACGTCGCTTCTCTTCATCATTGAAAAAAAGTAAAGCTCTTAGACCATTAACTGAACCATCGAATATATGTGCTGAAGAACTAAACAATGAAAGTCAACATCATCAATCATCCGTTATTGACCCTCAATCAAAACAAATCTTCACACCAATGGATAACACCTGCACAGTGGTTCTAACTTCAGATGTATTAACATCATCTTCAGGCTTACGTTTTTTACCGCATAGAATTACTACTAATGCCCATGTTCTCTGGTTTGGTAAGTTCTTTACATTCAGAATCTACTGTTTCGAAGAGGTTGTACCATTTTGTTTTGGACACAATTTTGGTTCTTGTAGATGTATAGCTATTGGTTCGTCAACGTTAAGAAAATGGAATATAAGTGGCTTTGATAACCTTCTATTTACCTTGTAGATGAATTTAAATGCAGAGTCCTCTTTAGTTGCACTGAGCAACAATGCCAGAATGTTTGGAATGCGCTTCTCTCCCTCTAAATGCAAGTTGTTGCTTCAGGACTGGTCTGCGTCAAAACCTGAACTAAGGATGGGTAGTGAAGTAGTCGAACGCGTTGGCAACTTCACTTATCTTGAAAGTCTGATCAGCCCTAATGGGTTCGTCTCTGATGAAATCTCAACACGGATTCGAAAAGCTCGTTTGGCTTTTGCCAACTTACGTCACCTATGGCGAAGGCGAGATATCCGTCTATCAATAAAAGGACGAGTATACTGCGCGGCAGTCCGTTCTGTTTTACTTTACGGCAGCGAAACTTGGCCATTAAGAGTAGAAGACACTCGTAAGCTACTAGTATTTGACCACAGATGCCCTAGAAATGTTGCTGGCGTCTGCTGGGATCACCGGATAAGTAATAGTGAGGTTAGACGCAGGGTATTAGGGAATGATGGTAAATCAGTTGATGTGGTTGTGAATCTTCATCGACTGAGAGGGTTGGGCCACGTGTTACGTATGCCTGAATACCGTTTACCACGACGTGCAATGCTAACCGGTGTTGGGGATGGTTGGAAGAAAGTTAGGGGCGGCCAAACCAAAACGTGGCATCAGTGCTTGAAGTCACTAACTTCTAGTCTAAGCCATGTTGGTAGATGCAGACTACTTGGCTGGGGTCCGCGTGACAATCGTAACCAATGGTTGGAGACTCTTGGTGATATGGCTCAGAATCGATCACAATGGCGTCGGTGTATACACTCTCTGTCTTCCCTTAGACTAAGAGATTAAAATTGCTTCATATCTTTCTTTCTACGAACTAATTCTCTCTTCATGTACTATATCCTTATTGCAATCTTTCTTCTATATATTACCACCTCTGAATTAACTACTTTTATGAATCCGTTGTCCATCTTGTTGTGTTAATGAGGTATGGCAACTTGGACCGTTGCATATATGTGCCTGGTCCTACGTTGTAGCTGACTGACCTCTTTAGTTGAGTGACATGTGTTTACAAAGTTTCTACAATAAGTATTCATCACCAAATTGGACATAACCAAATTTAACTAAGTTTGTTTTATTTTTAATTCAGTTTTATATTTGTATGGTGTCTTTTCTGTAAGGAAAATTTCTTCTGTATTAATACAGTTTCAATGACATTAAATAATCACCACGAAACTTAATATTCATATGAATATATATTTTTTCCGTTTAGATATTGATAAATCGATAGTTGGTACACGACAGTCATATTCAACATCGATTGATTTGCCTGGTATTATTCCTTATAAAAATAATGAACAATTATCATCTGATAATGACTTTATTCATGCAATTCATTGTCTTCGTGTCGATGGTCCATTAGATTTTAATAGAGACGATAGAATCGGTTCAGTTAATGCATTAAATAATTTGGGATTGCTTATTGATCAGAATATTCCTGGTCTGTTGCTAGATTTTTCTATTTCGCACAAAAATCAACACAACCGTGTGAGAGCTCAAAGTCCTAAGGTTACCGATTCAAGTAAGGAATCACGTCGTAAACGTGGTGGTATGTTAATCAATTGCTTTTTTATAAACTTATTTGTTTACTGTCATTTATCTTTGATCCATAAATCTTATTGTTCATATGCTAGCACATATACTGTATAACTGAATATTTACTTCACTAACCATATGGTTTTTTACACTGTCTGCTCATAGAGTAAACTAAACTTTTTGAAGTGAAAATAATACATAATAGTATGAGTTTTAACTGAACCAATAAATATTCAGTAATATTCATAGTCTTATTAAGCCTGTTTATCATTAGATGTTTTGTGTGCCATATGAATCGGGATTTTAGGATTTTAAAAGTTATTCATCACAAATTGGCTTTGAGCGTTACTTACTGGGCATCTAGCCTCTCTTTTCATCTTGTTTGTGGAGAATTTAAACAATTTTTGACTAGGCTGATAGGGTTCACATTATGGGAGTACGTTTATGCTTAAGCAACTTCGAACTTACTAGCTTTTTTCTATATTATTTCATGCATCCTATATAGAGATGTATGACACAGTGAATTTGTTTTTTTAAACTACTAAATATAATCAATTCTAAAATATACCTGACGTGTAAAAAATGACAATGCATCCCCGTTGATCCCTCTCACTTTTTAACTTAGTGTGCAGTATGCAGAAGGTAATAACACATACAAGATTATCATGATAAACAAAACAAATATGTTAAGAGAGAGAAACTACTAAATGATATATTGTACATGAATAAGCAGTGTTTCAGGATGAGTTTTGTTCTCTGAGCTGGATGATTTGTTCTTGAAGCTTTCATTGTTCTTCATCCATCTCAGAAAACAAAATTCTACCTAAATCATTCACGTGAGTTACAAATCCACCATTTCGTTAACAATATTTAAAACCGAAATTATTGTAGAGACACGAAAAGAGGTTGATTAAATGAGTAAACAGTTGGTTGGATCATTTATTAAATTTTCTTTAATTACATAAGGGGTGAAGACACTATACGTCTCTTGAATACAAAGATTAAGACTGTTTTCTCATATCCTTGTATTTATCAATTTTTATGGAATATACGTGAAAACTACTCTAGAAATATGGAACAAAATATCATAAATAAGCCTAAATGCTTTAGTTCTATCTGCAGCATGATCACTGTTGACTTGTTTTGAAGCACTATAAGAGATGCTTACTGACTCACTAAGGGTGAATTAGAAAAAAATAATGTGCTACCGCAATTAACTATTGTAATCTACAACAAGACATCAAATTAATTAGCTTATTATGCATAAAATTAAGCTTTCGTCTCTTATTTTCAATAACTTACGAATGAAAATGGATATATACATATATTCCCTTTAGGAACTGTACAATTCTTATGTAATAGTAAGTTGTTCTTTACTTCATACTTTTAATGTACGCGTTTGCCTCAATTTCCCATTTAGTTTATTTCTCCATTCATTGGTGACAAGTGCATATGTAACTAGTCATTTCCTCTGAGAAAAATTTTAAAAAGATGTTGTGATGAGCGGTGTCCGAAAACTTATACTGGTACATGGTATACTATGCGCTAATCCCCGAAATGACTACTTGAACGAGAAAGTGTTTTCGACGATCGAATAAAATGCATAAATACTCATATAAACACCACTCTAATCCTTAGGAAATTCATCCACTCGTTAGCCAATGAAATAAACCTGACTTTTAGGTCACTTCTGATTGCCATTGATTGATCTTCTCATCATGCTACTTCTGATTAGCTTCCTGTTTCTGATATGTTTTGTTTGAATTCATATGCTATGTCCTCGAGATAATAATAATATTCTACTTGTGTACAACTTTTTCATACCTCTAGTTTTACATTTTTCATGTATATGTGAAGTAATAACTATCAATCTACTGCATATATGTATAGGACACGGTCATTAGAAATATGATGTAAAAATGTTACCGCTTCAAACCATTTGGTGCATTTCTTTCTCTTACCTACTTTCTCCTTAAAAAAATCAATTAATAATGTAACCGCTACAAATTTTGTACTTGATTCCGAGTCAAAATATTTTTGTGTGGTCCTGTAATACTACTTAACTCCTCAAACTGACATTAAAGGAGTAGGGTTTGAACATGTGATTCATTTATGATTATTGATTTAACCACTAACTATATATGAATCGACTAAGGTATCCATTGTGTTAAACTTCAATGGTCCGTGTTAGCCATCTCTTTAACAACAGATGTTCATTACTCTATGAGTTGCACGTAACAGAGTCAGAAATGAAATGAAATGTTCTTTTTGAACCACATGGCTAATGATCATCAAGCAAACAAGATAAGTTTCGTTTACTCATTGACTAAAAATACCTTGTTACACTATATATATATATATATATATATATATATATATATATAATTGTAATGTGATGTTAAATTCTAATTTAGATCGTCAGAAAAGTGCTATCACTGCAGAAGATATATTACGTTCAACTGGAAAAATCCGTAAATCATAATGTTCATGTATTGTTTTATAATTATAATTGAAGTGTTTCAATTTATTGTCTTCTACTTTTTTTGTATTTCTGTATTAAATACAAACTGGCTTTTAACTATAACTATTCTTGTATGTACTAGTTTGTTTATGCATGCACTTACAAAGTTCAATTCTTTTAATGAATTTGTCACGATTAAACTAGCTTATGATCATCAACCTTTTTAGAAGTCAGACGAGATATTTTTAAATGTATCAAGTTAAATTGAATGGGTTTATTTCGTCAATGTTAGTGAATTCACGTTTCTCAAATGTGATTACTACTACTTTTTTGTTTTGTTTAAAGGCGTTATTAGATCCCTTAAGTTATATTTGACTAATCATTATTCAAATTACAAGTATATCCACTCATTCCTTAAATTAAGATGAAGTATATCAGAACTCAATATTTTGCTAAGCGCTATTTGACTACAGTTTAATTTTTACCATAAAGCTATTGAAAAGAGTCATGTATAGTATATAGAATAACTAAATCATCATTTCATGCAATTAGTTCCCTTTATGAATTTAAATAAAGCCAGAAAAAAATATTGATGCAGAATAGTATGAATTCATCATATTTCGTGGTTTCTCATCAGCTGCTTACAACCAAATAGGCATTAGAATTTTACATAGAGATAAGAAATAGCATGGAACAATTGACAATTGATAACTATATATATATATATATATATATATATATGCAAGAACAGGTCAGAGGTTACTAGGTGTTAGAACCAAGTTGGTGGGTTCTAGAGACAGTTAAGATAAATTGTGTGATCATTTTAGAGGTAATAAGTTTATTACTGTCTCTTTTTGAATACCTAGATCTGGTTTAAGTTTTTCTTATCGCTATCGCTTCATCATTAATTGATTTAGTATAGTTGTCATTTAGTCGATAGATTTTCTTCTTAACGTGTCAAGTATAGCTTAATAGATCATTTCACTTTTGTACAATGTAGTATATCAGAATTTCTGTCTGTCTGTGTTTATGTTGTTATGGCAACAATCCCAAAGACGTTTAGATAAGTATCTTGGATAACATTTTTTCGTATCTAAAGCACATAGATTACTTTTATAATATTCTTCTTTTTTCTATTTCGAATTGAATTATATCTTCCAACTTCATTATTAATTATTAAGTGATGAATACACTGCTAAAATTCTTATTAACGATAAAATGTTGGGAGATTGGTCACAAATAAATTTATTGGCTATGTAGCGTGCGCTACTTATATCCACATAAGTAGTATATAACGATGGTCAGGAATAGAATGTATTTCAGTAGAAAATCGAGTAGGAAAGAACGGGAGCAGAAAGCAATTAGTATAAAAATGCATGAACAGTTAAATTTAAGACGATGGACTGATATTTACAAAAGGAACAGTCACCTTTGAGACAATGGATTGATATTTTGCAAATTAACTATTTATTGTATGGTTCTCAGATTTTAGTGAGATGTTCTGTAATTTTGTGCTCAAATACATTCGATTGTGCCAACTCCTGTTCTTGTTCACTACAGTTACACACTTTAATTATCATAGAGCTTCTCATGATATATATGTATATATGCTTTTTTTTGTAAATCCGATTATATTTCCCTTCTTATTTAATCCCTTCAATCAAATGCTTGACTTTGCCTACTTACTCACTAGTTGATTTGTTCGTGGTAAATATGTTGTTTGTCTTTATTTGTTCATTTCATCTTCTCCTACATATCTCATTTTCTTTAATTTGATTTAAATGTGAATCGTGCTAAGCTAATCAATGAATAAATTAATTTAGTTTATGACTCCTCTCGTTTGTCATCCTGTTTTTTTTTCAATAATTAGATGAAAATGAACTTCGAACGGCGGATGATACAAAAATTTTACAAGTTATTGAAGCATATTGCGCTAGTTCATGGACACATCCTAGTTATCGAACATGTAAGCTAATGTTTATTTTTTGTAGGATATTGTTTACGTTTAACACACTTGTAATAGATGAAATCAATAATTGAACTATTTCTAGATACTTTCTTCAATAACTAAATCGCAAGTCTAGTTTATCATTCACATATCATGCTTATGCTATCAGATTGTATGTTCAATTTCCACACGGTTGATATTTCTAAAAACTTTAGATATTACATTGTTCACGGCTAATGTGAGTTGAATTAGGCGGTGCTTTCATACATACGCAATGAGTGGTCCTTGAAAGCTGTAAACACTTGTTCTGCTTATCGTTTAATAATGAAATGGGAATTGAATATTTCCTTTGTTGTTTAACCGGGGATTTAATTCAACCATATTTAGATTTTAATCAAAATTAAACTTTCGTATTATTTAGTCAACTAAATTTCCAGCTTAACTATATATCAGTACTAATTATTTAGAGTTAGTACCTAACGTAGCTTGATTGTAATTTGAAAAAGTTTACAATCTCAGGCTACATAGATTAATACCATACTTTCGTTGTCCTATACTTTCTTTTAAAACATCATCTTCTTTTGGCTAATGTTAATCGAAAAATGTTGACCAAGAAACGTAAATTCCGATCACCAAAAGATTTGATTCCCATTCTGGTATCTAATAACGAATACAGTGTTCAATATCCATCTGTCAGAGGAAGGATAAATACTACAAACTTTCCTTGTAGTTATAAACATTTAATTTTGTATTCACTTAGTGTTGTTTACTTGTATCTTCCCATTGCTATTTAGGACTGCAATTGATCAGTCTCTTATTGGCATATGTACATCTTGTGCGGACTGCCTCGATATTGCCTGAAGTCACAAGCTTTATAAGCAAAGATCGATAGTGGCTAACAGTGGAATAGAGGAAGCGCGTTTTGTCGTATTTGGGACTCGTCAACTGGATGTACCTGCAATTCAGAGTTGATGTTCACAATATCGAGGCAGTCCGCACATCTGCCAGTAAGAGACTGATCAATCGCAGTCCTAAATAACAATGCGAAATTACAAATAAACAACGCCAAGTAAATATAACTTAACCGCATTGCACCGCCTAACAGGTGGCTATCAGGACTCAGTAGCTAAGTGAAAAACGCGATGGCGTTTGAAATGAGCGATACTGCGTTCGAGTTCCAGAGTGAACATCAACTCTGAGATGCAGGTACATCCAGCCGACGAGTCCCAAATAGGATGAGACGCTTATCGATCATCTAATTTGTTTATGAATATTAATTTAGATCTCTTGAAATATTATTCAGTTCTATGGTTAAAATTTTAAATTATTTACTTACTTACGCCTGTTACTCCTCGTGAAGGAGCGTGGGCCGCTCACCAGCATTCGCCATACAACCCTGTCCTGGGCAGTCCTTTCCAGTTGTAATTCATCGTTTTCATATCTGCTTCTATTATCCGACGTAGTGTGTTCTTAGGCCTTCCACTTTTCCGCTTCCCGTCAGGATTCCAAGTTAAGGCTTGTCTCGTGACGCAGTTTGACGATTTGCGTAATATATGTCCTATCCATTTCCATCGTCTTTTCCTAATTTCTTCTTCAGCTGGAAGTTGGTTTGTTCTCTCCCACAGAAGGCTATTGCTGATGGTATCCGGCCAATGGATGTTGAGTATCTTGCGAAGACAGCTATTTATAAGTACTTGTACCTTCTTGATGGTGGTTGTTGTAGTTCTCTAAGTTTCAGCTCCATACAGTAGAACTGCCTTGACGTTCGTATTGAAGATTCTCACTTTGATGTTGTTTGAAAGTTGTTTTGAGTTCCATATGTTCTTCAATTGAAGGAATGCTGTCGTTGCTTTGTCAATCCTCGCCTTAACGTCTGCATCTGAACCTCCTTGTTCATCGATGATGCTTTCCAGGTATGTGAAGGATTTTACATCTTCCAGAGTTTCGCCATCAAGAGTGATTGGAATGCTGTTCTCCGCCTTGAATTTGAGGACCTTGGTTTTCCCTTTGTGTATTTTGAGGCCTATTGATGCAGAGACTGCTGCCACACTGGCTGTCTTTGTCTGCATCTGTTCGTGTGTATGCGGTAGGAGGGCTAGGTCATCTGCGAAGTCCAAATCGTCTAGTTGATTCTGAGCTGTCTATTGTATTCCGTGTTTTTCCTCAGATGTTGAGGTCTTCATAATCCAGTCGACCATCAGAAGAAAGAGGAAGGGAGAGAGTAGGCAGTCTTGTCTGACTCCGGTCCTTACTTGGTATGCATCTGTCAGCTGTCCTCCATGCACGACTTTGCATTGTAGTCTGTCGTATGAGTTCCGGATAATATTGACAATCTTTTCAGGAACTCTGTAGTGCCGAAGAAGTTTCCATAACTTTCTCCTATCTACACTGTCAAATGCCTTTTCATAATCAATGAAGTTGATGTATAGTGACGAGTTCCACTCAACTGATTGTTCGACGGTGATCCGTATTGTCTCAATTTGGTCTGTGCACAACCGATCCTTACGGAATCCAGCTTGTTGATCTCGAAGTTGGGCGTCTACTGCATCTTTCATCCGGTTCAGGAACACTCTGTTAAGGGCTTTCCCTGGTACTGACAACAGTGTAATGCCTCTGTAGTTTTCACATTTGCTCAGATCTCCATTCTTTGGAATCTTGACGAGGTGCCCTTCTTTGCAGTCCATCGGCACTTGTTCCTCCTCCCAAATCTTTTTGAATAGAAGATAAAGCATGCTTGTGGTTGCTTCGATGTCTGATTTCAGTGCTTCAGCTGGTATGTTGTCGGGTCCTGCTGCTTTCCCGTTCTTGATTTGTCTGACGGCCATTCTAATTTCTTCCTTCGTTGGTGGGTTGACGTCTATGGGAAGATCTGTGTGTGCCGCTTCGATGTCCGGTGGATTCATTGGAGCCGGCCTATTCAGGAGTTCCTCGAAGTATTCTACCCATCTGTTCCGCTGTTCTTGAATTTCAGTGATTGGCTTGCCTTCTTTGTCTTTGACCGGCCTCTTTGGTTTACTGTATTTCCCTGGTAGTTTCTTCGTTGTATTATAAAGCTGTTTCATATTTCCTTCTCTTGCAGCTTTTTCCGCGGTCGTTGCTAGTTCTTCCACGTATTCCTTCTTGTCGGCTTTAATGCTCTTCTTCACTTGCTTGTTTGCTTCTATGTATTCAGCTTGTGCTTGTACTCTCTCTGCTCGTGTTCAGCTGTTGTTAATTGCTGCCTTCTTGTTCTTCCTTTCTTTGATCTTGTCCAGAGTTTCTATAGAGATCCACTCCTTATGCTGGTGTTTCTTTAGGCCCAGAACCTCTTGACACGCTGAAGTTAATGCTTCTTTGATGCCTTTCCAGTTGTCTTACATAATAGTTTCTTCTTCCTTCAGTAGATCTTGTAAGGCTTGGAACCTGTTGTTGAGAGCTATCTTGAATTCACTGAGTTTGTCAGTATCTCAAAGGAAGGTAGTATTGAACCTTTGTATTGCTGTTTGTCCAGTTCATTTTTAGCTTCAGTTTTAAATTGGCTACAACTAGGTGGTGATCTGAAGCTATGTCAGCTCCTCTCCTAGTTTTCACATCTTCCATTGCCCTTCGGAATTTTTGTTGATGCAAATTTGATCTATCTGGTTCTCTGTAGTGTGGTCCGGTGAGATCCATGTTGCCTTTTGTATACGCTTGTGTGGAAATATTGTGCCCCCTATGACCAATTTGTTGAATGCACATAGATTTGCAAATCTTTCTCCATTTCGTTTCTTTCCCCCCGTCAATATCGTCCATGATATCTTTATATCCGGTGTTGTCTATTCCGACTTTGGCATTTAGATCTCCCATCTGAATAGTTAGGTCCTTTCTTGGGCATTTCTCTATGATTGATTGCAGCCTCCCATAGAACTGGTCATTATTGTCGTCGTTGCTATCATTGGTGGGTGCATAACATTGGATAATATTCATTGTGATCCCCTCCTTCTTTGTTTTGAATGATGCTTTGATGATTCTGGATCCTTGATATTCCCATCCTACAAGTGCATTTCGTGCTACTTTGGACAGCATTAGAGCGACTCCCTGAGTGTGTGGAGCATTTTCCTTTTCGTGACCGGAGTATAGCAGCATCTCTCCCGTAGCTAGCCTTTTCTGTCCAGCTTGGGTCCAATGTGTTTCGCTGATTCCCAGTATTGCCAAATTGTATCTCCTCATTTCCGTTGATATTTGACTGATCTTCCCGGTTTCCCGCATTGTTCGGACGTTGCATGTACCTACAAAAGTTTTTGCTCTGGTTGTTAGAAGGGGCATCGGCCTCGTGGCTTCCGAAGGAACTCGGCTTTCACCATGAAGCGTCATAATTCTTCTAAATGAAGACTTTCTAACTCCCAGGGCAGAGTTAAAATGGTTTGGATTATTTTTTCTGGTAAGCGTTTTTTTAGCGAGTTAGTTTTCTACGGGATGGGGACGCTAACCACATGCCCAACCCTTCTCCTTTACTCGGGCTTGAGACCGGCAGTAACTCTAGAAGAGCTAGAGGTGGAGTTAACATTCTAAATACTTCGTTTAATATTTCCTGTTCTCTTCAATAATGCAGTGTAATTTGAGTTATATAAATCTTTGCACTTTCTGATTTTTCTTTTCTCTATGTTTAAAATTAGTGGACTCTGTAAAAAATGAATGTCAAATAGGTGGTCAAGGTATTCTATCACCAGTTGAAAGCCGAACATTATTACAACATTTCCGATATCCTAAAAAGCCGTCTACATCATTTCTATCCACATCATCTTCGGGTATGCATTCAAGACAAGAACAAGACTCACATATAACAGATGCTTCCATATTTGAATTGTCTCGACAAAGCTTACCTCTTTCTATGTTTAGTTCGAAAGCATCATTGAAACGATCTGAATCAAAGAATAAATCACAAACGTGCTTATCACAAGATGGTACGGTTTGTTTGAATCAGAATATAGCAGCTAATGTGATCAGTTCAAACAGTAAGATTATCTCCAGTGTTACAACTAATTCTAGTTGTACTAACTGTACTCCATGCAATTCTAATCAATCTTCCAGTTATACGCATAACATACAATGTGAATCAATTTTAAAAACATTTTCACCACCTCCAGTAATTCTACCAACACACAGTGGTCGACGTTAACTTAATGAATTATCCATGTTTATTATTTTGTGATCTATATTTGTTTACTTCAATTTCATCTCTAGCATTACGGCTCATTTCATTATTTTTAAATTAAGGCATTTAGTTATTTACTTGTTTTGTTATCGGATTTAGTATTTGTCATTTGTTTATTATTATCATCATTTATTTACTTTTTCTTCTTTGAACACCTAAGCGATAATATTCTCAATATCCTTATAATTTTCATCATTGTTTTTTATTAATGATAAATATTTGTCTTTTTGTTCAAGTTATTGAATTTGTTTTATTGTGTATTCACTATTCAATTTAGCTGTTGATGGTATTGTTACTACTACAACAACAACTACTACTACTAGTACTATTACTACTACTCCTACTACTACCACTACTATTATTCCTAGTGATATTATTATTATTATCACTATTATCTTTATTATTACCTATACTGGTGACATTATTCTATTAATAAAGATTGAAATCAGTTTCATAATTTCTTTTTTCTTATGAAAGTTAAATTTTTAAAAGTAGTGACAATTTATCTAAAAAATTTTACACACTACTCCAAAGACAAGGAATATTTAAAGGTACAATTGTTTATAATATCTTCATCAGATTCTACGATTATAGATTCATAATAAATATTATTTCAATGGATATTTATGTTGTGCTTGAATTATACAGTAGTGAATTATTATGTCGATTACAATTCAAGTGCATATAACATGTGTCATCTGTTAAGTTCCACGTTCATGTAAGAAAAGATGAAGTGGTAAGTTATAATTAATTATAGTTGATGGACGTACTAACATAAATGGAATTCTATTTGGTAGACCCATCTCAGACAAGACCTTTAGTTTATACTATTGTTATAACTTGTGCCCTGTATCCTATTAATGTATAACGTAACGACACAGACAATTAGAGAGCAGTGATTTATCTATCGGACCAATGACGCATAAAACCCGTGCAAGCAGTCTAGAGTACTTATTGGTCCTGCTTCCCGCCTAGCCCAGCCAGGTATGTCCAGAACACCAATCTCAGCCTCGCGATGTGAATCGTTTATTTCAAGACCAAATCGTACCATAAAATAGGGAAAAACATTTATACAAGATTTAGCCAATTGTGGCTGTGAATGAGGAAGACAAATCAATAGGCTGGGCATAATTCAAGAACGGTAAATCATACAATAATAGTTTATGAGCCAAATTAAAGCTCATAATGAGAGGAACACGAATATGGATAGTTTAGTTACTGAACAATTATACGATAAAAGTAGACGTATAGTGTTCGTCTATTCATTGTTCTCATCCGGATACAACAACTATAAAACGACTATTTTTAAAATATAGACTAACCACTCATCATTTCATCTAGATTGGGAAAATGACTCAATAACATTTGAAGCTCATTTGATTTCTCGAACTTTCATCGTGATATAGTAAGTGCTTGTGTTTATCCTGATAAAACTAAGTTTCTATAAACTTTTAGGCCCATATGCATGTTCAGAAGTTGGATCTACCGATTGTCCATTTAGGTACACTATTAATATTGAATTTACAAGCCTCTACAAAACCTATAAAATTAATTAATATTTGAGTCCATTGTTACGTTCAGTACTTGATTAACGCAGAATACTATATACAGCTGATAGCACTCGAACGTATAGAACCCCCACAGTCTCAAATAAGAAGACACAAGAAGCAGAAAAAGTGGTTGTTGAGTAAGAATCAAAAATGTTCAAAAAACATGTATATTTATAGTTATTAGCGTTGGTTATAACATCATTATAATTCAGCCAATCCACAAGGAGGTAAGTTTGCTGTAGTGAACGAGAACACAAGTGGGGACAGTGGAATGAATTACAGGACTTCTTAGCAAAATCTGAGAACCAAACAGTAAGTGTTTAATCAGCAAAAATGTCATTGAATTGTCTCAGACTGCACTCTTCCTTCAATTTTTACTGCAATCACTCATTGTTCTCGTCCTCTTTCCTTCACTCTTCTTAACCTTCCGTTGCCAAACATTTCACTTTCGATTGATTATACATACTACTTATATCTGTCGACATCAGTAGCAGACACCACAATGCTACTGTCCGTTCATAGCATGCCACGTTAATATTCTTCAGAACTCCATCAAATTCTGATTAGGTAGAAAATCTTCGGCTCCTTTAGGACCTTTGGAGCCCCTGTTTACTGAACAAATCATAGTAAAACCTTTAGTTCCGTTTTTCTTATGCGATCTACGTCACAACAAATCGAATTCTCACTGGACGAAAAAATTACGCTAATGAGTTTCATAGAAAATTGCTTATTTTCACTAGAATAAAATTTAATTTCTAAAAACGCTAATTCATAAGTCTTTTAAATACTTTGGAATTAACTCACTGATTGATAACGAATAATTCACTTGGAGTTATGTTTTCTAGTGCTAGATTTTCAAACTAGAAAATGAATGAAAACTGTTTATTACAATCATGTTTATTATCAGTGACAGTTCGCGGTCCTATGGCGAATCAACAACCAATAGATTGTTGTTTTGTTTTATCGGACTTAGCAGTTGCTCAATTTATACGAAGTAAACACTCCCGTGTTCAATGGTGATTATCATCAAATAACTAGATGTCTAGCCGTTCCTTGTGTACAATTGGAAACAACTGTTGATACCGATCATCTGTTGTCATTGCTGGGTTTGAAAGCAAAATCAAAAGAAGTAGGATTCAAATTGATTTCTTTAGATGTTAATAACTAGTATTCAGATAATCAATATGGAATTCATATAAATTGAATTTTAATAGTATGGTCTTCAATAATACACAACAAGGAATACACAAATTTTTTGGATAACAATTAGCTCTTAAAACATCTTTTGGTACATTATCTTACTTTGTACACTTGGAAATTGGACATAGCGACGTCAATACACGGCTGTATAAAACTGATCTGATTACTAAAGTATTTATATCGATTATTTGACGACCTTACGGAGGGACTCCTAACAATCGATCTTTATTTCCCAGACTAAAAGCTTCCAGAAGTATCTGTTAAAGAAATTGGGATTGGGGTGGTCTTAGTGACCTGAGAGGGTGGCCTCAGTGCCTAAGAGAGAACTTGTTTTCCAACGTACTATGTTGTACAGGATCTAGAATGATTGAACAATCGTGATTACAAGGATTTTAATGAGCGTCTGTGTTATTTGTACTAGCTGATGATTCCTTTATACTTGATTGGGCGCTTATCACGGATTCTAAATATTTTACTTCCAGTTGTGCTCGTCCATTTCTGTCAGTCTTAAGTTGAGTTATTCCCTAGATTCATAGTTAGCACGTTAATTCGGATACTTGAATAGTATTTTGTTGAAGATATAACAATAATATATTTCTGCAATGGCAGGTATATGCCATTTTTACAGGCATGGTCTGTAAATTGCAACATTTATCGTTTCTTAGTATACACGTTAAATAATTATAGTCTATAAAAAGGAATATTAGTTCATTCCTTCAGATATACTGAATAATCTTCAAAATATTCTCCAAAGTGGCATCGCGTCCACGTTACACACGAGATCCAATCTCCGCATTATTGTGTTAGGATTTTGGTCGTGCTAAGTATTTATGCAATGCAACTTTTTAAGTTTATAGTTGTTAGAAAGTAGACTTGTAGAGCGTCGGTGTGAACTATGACCTTGGGAAAACACGTACGTCTAGTTTGTTCCAGATGTCAGGAGTCCCATAGCTGTGCTTTAAGAACATGATTCTTAAAAAAAGAGGAACTGAAGAGCAGCGAGGCACTTGGATATGAACGATAAACAACACTGAACATGAGAACATCAGAAATGTTTTGTGGTCACTTTGGATCGGTGGATGATAGTTAGGTGGCTGAAATGAAATCAGAACCTGGGTTATCTGTTAATAGTGATTTTAGACATTTAGCTAAATAACTACAGAATTGATTTCCGGTTAAATTGTGATTTCCCCAAAAGATCAAGTTGAAACAGGAGTGATATTGTCACTTTGATTTGAGTCTCTTACAGACTGCATTCATAAACACAGCTCACCTTATTGACAGGTTGTTACAACGTTGGGACTACGTAAAAATAGTTTAAGAGATTCGGTTTACAATCGATAAGGTTATTTTGATGTTAGTGTATGGAGTAAAGAACCTTAGGGAAACTGACTAGTTCTTCATCTGTGTTTACGACACGAGAATTCGTGCCAAAATAGTGTAAATGTGACTGTAGTGGCTGGTACTTTATCCAGTCCACATAGTGTATGCTAGCTTTTGGACAGGCCAATTTATTCATTCGCCCCAAGCGACGTTTCGACTCTCCTGGTTGTTCGCTTATTAACTCCGATTGTTTTTATATGATCGCATGTGTGCTAATTACTTACCCAACTCATCACCCGTCAGTAAATTATTTTTGTCTGGATATAAATACTAGGTCACTCGCGATCAAAACGCGGTGGCCCACCCGCTTTCTCCTATGCGCGTCATTTCGTTTCGTTTCGTTTCATTTCTCTGGTTGTTTGTCTGAACCAATGAGTGTATACGTAACCAAAATTCATTCTTGTACTCGGTTTATTTTATTCCGTTAGTCTCTAATTCAAATTAAATCAATTAAGAATATACGAAGGTTAGAGGCATTAGTGGTTCGATTTAACTAGATTCAGATATCGGACCAACAAATGACATTACTTTCAGGGAATGCTGTAAACTACTCGAATTATTGACCGATGGTTATGAATGGATGGGCTTCCTGTTTTCCCAGTGACTTAAAAAGTCGTTCGTCTGTGAATTCACAAGTATCTGTGAACACATGCAGTGTGGTTATTCATCTACCTGAGAGGTAAGGAGGACATGATTGCATAATGTTTTGGAATAGGGAATAAACAACTGTGCATCACTTACTAACGAATCCGGGGGCTTCATTTATTTCATGAATGATGATACGTTGTTGAATAGTAAAGGCTTTGAACTTTAAAAATTTAATCATACGAT